AGAACTTTTAGTACACGAGTGGCAATGTCAGTCGAGCACGTATGTCACCCTATCCATCGGAATTGTCCGATTGAGAGGACGAGTGGTGACGTATTTCAAATTTCTGTCATCCCAAGCAATCTTTTCGCGAGTCGTCCCACTTCGAGCCTTATTGCGTGTGTTGGGGGATTGGGGTTTATCCTTGGAAACCCACATCCCCACCCAACCCACAACACCAACAAGGTAAAGCCTACTTGATGAGTAGAAAATGTGCATTATGGAGAAACGGCAGTCAGGTCAGGATGGTGGCGGCGCTGGACTCTTGTGGGGGGTGCGCTCTATCTGCCATAGCCTGACCAACGCGTTGCTTCCGTCTTTCTCTCCCGACGCACACCCTTTCTCCCTCCCAAAAAACTCGCGACCCCCACTACCCCGCCTCAACCCAAACCACTTGCACCCCCAACCGCTTTTCAAGCTGCTCACGCAATCCCGCCAACCCCCACACCGTTCTGCAGTGCAAACTCCAACGAGCCTGAGCCTGAGCCTGACAACTCGGACGCGGTAGGACGCCTTTTCGCAAGACATCCCTGCTCGATCTCATTCGCTTGGACACATCCGAATCTCGATCCCCTCCCTCACCGATCTCCCATTTTATTTGCCCCTCTCTCCCCTCCCCCTCTTCTCCATCGTGCTCGTTGTTAGGCACACCTCACTTGGCCATCGCCTTTCTTGCTGGATTCAGTCTTGCCTTGCCCCGTTCACATCGTTGCCATGTCGGCAACCCCCCGCGTATCGCGGCGGCGGCTGGCTCTGCCTCATCCACGAGAACATACCTCCATCCTATCGCGCCTGCCTCTGATTCTCCCTCTTCTTGCCGCTGCCATTGTTGCCTTTTCGGGGATCTCCCAAGTACACGCCCTTGATAATGAGGAGATGATCATCAACATTGCTCAAATGGTGGAATGCCACGGCAACGCCTGCATCGATGCCATGCAGCCCACCTGGGACTTTCTCGAAGCCTCTTTGCGCGCAGAAACCAACGCCACCAACCTGACCATCAATGTACACAGCTTCCGAACCACTGCCGAGTTCAAGGCCGCCATCTCCCAAGCCAACGCCAGCTTTCATTTTATTTTTGGTGATGGTTTGACCATGGCATGTGGTAGCTTGATGCTCCACACGGCCCCAATCGCCGCCCTCGCCAGCAACGTTGCCGGTCAGTGGTGAAGCGCCTCCTTCATATTGCTGTCTTTCTCATCACACTCACTTGTCCATCACCCTCATTCGCCTCATAGGCCACTACATCCGTCATACCGGTGCCGTTATTTTGACGAGCAACTTTAGTGTCAACTCGATCGCTGACATTGATGGACATGCCGTCACTGTTGCAGAGCATCCGCTGTTTTCGGCTACCCTCATCGGGCTTCGCATCATGCGCGAGCTTGAGCATGATCCTTTCTTGACTGCAAAACAGGTAGCTGCATATTTCACTCCGAAGCATGCTCCATCGAACATGCATGGACTCACTGGACAGGCACCCACCCCCCATGTAGTTGCTCATCATGTTTACATTCCGCTGTGATGCCGCTGCCATTCAGGTGCGCTTTACCTACTCGGCCGAGGAAGCTCTTTTGGATATTGTCAATGGCCCCAGTGAGATTGCCCTCGTGCCGGTCGGCGTGCTTGAGACGATGATCCATGATGGTCTGCTGCAGACCGATCAGCTCAAGGTTTGCAGACTGGCTCCGCTGTTACCCATCTGGTCGACGCAGCGGTCACTTTTGGTTTTAATGCAACTCCTACCAACTCGCCTGGTTGTGCTTAGGTCCTCCATGAAACCTTCCATACTGTGCTTGGTGAGCCATTTCCCCTCCGCACGTCTTCCCAGCTCTATGCCGGCTCCAGTCTTGCCGCTTTTCCTGACACCTCGGAAGAGTTGGTCAACTTGGTTGAAGCCATTCTCTTCTCTATCACCAACGAAACTGTCATGGCTATCAACGGGTTCTACCACCACTGGGCATATCCCCTGGCCTATTCCTCCTCACAAAACTTGCTGGTATGTGGCCCAGCCCGCTGCGTTCCACTCCATGCGCGAATAGCACCAGTCCCTCACCTCGATTTGTCCCCACTGCAAATTGCTGCTTGGCTTGTCACCTCCTCTGTTCGACGTGATAGCAACGCATGGGGGTCATTGATGACGACGGCGAGAGCTACTCTTGCAAGTCCAGTGAGGATATGGAACATCAATTCGACTACTGTCCGCTTGGATCTTTCCCCATGTCTTTTGGGGAGCGCTACACGGCTTGTGGCGCCGATGCCCCATCATGCGCCACTGTTCTTCGTTGCACCTGCAATCCTTGTCGGGTGTCTGATGAAGTCGAGGTCAGTCAAGTGCAAGTTTCTTCACGCAGCCCGTGATTTGCCTCTGGCTAACCGTCGTCAAGTCACACTCATCTCATGCATGGGCTGCATGGCCAGGTTTTTGCCTTCATTACCAAACATCCCGACAACACGCTCGGCTCGGCTCCAGCTGATAAGAGTAAAATGGATGAACAATTTAGCATGCGAGGTTCTGAGCTGCTCAACCAATTCAGCCTCAACGCCGAGGAAGCTGGTGCTCAACTCTGTGCCCGCATCGATACCTGCGTCACCGTACAACAATTCGATCGGATCGACTTTCAGGTACTCTCTTCGCCAGCCCGATTTGGCGAGCCGGATGCTCTGAACCCTCCGTTCGCTTGCTCAAGCTTGCATGTGCCCTGCCCATGCCGCCCTCTCTTGCCCAACTTACAGATTGTGGATCACCGTCACCATGTGCGTGTCGATGCAGTGGTCACCTATACGGTCGATCTCATTACCGAAGAGGAGCTGGAACATCTGAGTGACCTCACTACGGCCCATTTGACCAACTACGGCAGCTACGACGTGTTCTTTGAGGCAGCTGACATCTTTCTCAAGCATGGTCTCTACACGATCGAAGTGCTGCTGGATGGCGAGCACGTGGAGGCATCGCCCTTCTTTGTCAGCGTTATTGGTCGAGACTGTGACAACCACGAGCATGCTACGGACGACGGTGGTTGCACTTGCGTAGCAGGCTACACCAAGAGTCAGGGCACGTGCATCCCCACGAGCAAGCTGATGATTCAAATCCTCATCCCTCTGGTCATTGTCATGATCCTCTTGGGCTTTGCCTACAAAGTCTACGCTCAGTATCGCGCCGATGCCGTTTGGCGCATTGGCTTTGATGAGTTGAAGTTTGGTTCACCCCCGGTGGTGCTGGGTGAAGGTACGTGAAGCAGCTCTGCTGACAATACAGCTGTCTTGGCTTTGGCTGGGGCTAATTGGTACTCGGGTGCACCCTTGTCTCTAGGTGCATTCGGTCAAGTCCTCGAGGCGGAGTGGCGCGGCTCTGTTGTCGCCGTCAAGCGGCTCATCCAAGGCAAAGACCCTGGATCTCATGGTTCCCGCGGGTGCGTGCCACTTGTACTCTTATAAAATGCGAGATGCGCCAGGAACAAGCGAACTTATCGGGTCGGCATGGTGTTCTAGGAGTGTTCGGCGAATGGATATTTTCAATTCCAAAGAGGGTGGCGGCGAGATGAAGCGTGCAACCTCTTTCCTCGGTGACATGACTCAAAATCCCAAGGCTCAGAAATATCAAAGTGGCACAATCAATGCCGCCCGCGTCCACAGTCGCTCCACTGGCAATGTCCTTCCTACCATCCGGAGTGAGGGCGCCAGCCCTAGGTACGTTTATCTTGAAGAAAGAGTTTTGCGATGCCTTGGCGTGCTGGCCAGAGACGCCTATTCATGCCGGCGTGTTTTTTTTTTCTCCAGCAGCAAGCGGTCAAGCAAGCGGTCGTCATTCTTCAGCACAACGCGCCTGCGGTTTGTTTCCTGCCGGTTCGGGGGCTTGCCTTGAAGGGTGATGTGCTGACCCCATGCTTCGGCTGTGCTCGTCATGCAGCCAGCGCCTTAAGCAAGAAATGCGCCTGCTGGCCCGCCTCCGACATCCTGGCGTTGTGACCGTCATGGGTAGGTTCACAGAGACTTCCCCACTTAATCTGCTGTGCATGGCCATCTCACAGCGGGCGCCTGCATTATCTTTTTGCTTAGGCGCAGTCTTGGAGGTCGGCATGGAGCCGCTGATGGTCATGGAGCGCATGGAAATGTTCGTGCATTGCAGTCATTGCCTCTTTTGTATAGTTGGCGTGAATGCCAAACCGCCACGACACCTTTCGCTCATCCTTGGGATTGCTGTTGGCATCGTTTTTGTGTCCACACGTAGGAGTCTCTATCAGCTTCTCAGCAACGATCAGGTTGAAGCCGGCGTGGAAATTGTGGTCCCTGTCCTACGCGACATCACGTCCGCCATGATCTTTTTGCATGCCCACAAACCCATGGTCCTGCACGGTGATATCAAGGTGAGTATTGATTCCCCTGTCCTCATTGATGGGCTGTTTCATTTTTAACCCATACGTTGTGAATGTGCCTTTGAACTAGTCGATGAATGTGTTGGTGGATCAAAACTTCCGGGGCAAGCTGTCGGACTTTGGTTTATCTGGAATCAAGCAGAATCGAAAGGCCTGCGGATCACCTCCATGGTACGCGGCGCAAGCTCGCAAGCTGTAAGGGACGGTATCGACATGTTGTCGCTCATCTCTGATCAATTGGGTCCGATGCATTGGGTAGGATGAGCCCCGAGCTGTTGCGGGGTGGCAGCACCAGTCCCGAATCAGACGTGTACGCGTTTGGCATCCTCTTGGCCGAATGCCTCAACCGCGAGCTGCCCTACCAGGTTCGGGCACCTTTCAACCAAGGGCTGCATCTTTGGTGGGGTAGCGTGCGCAGTCACCTAAAATATCATTGGTGATGTTTAGGACGATGACATGAGCAATGTGCTAATGATGGTGGGCAAGGGGCCTGATGAAGATGGCAATTTGAAGCGTCCGACAATCAAAAGCGATCCAACAGAAGGCGTTCTAACGGTGAGTCGGCACGCAAGTGGGCAATTGTGCAAATTTTCGAAGAGCGTGGGTGTCAAGGATACACTACAACTCATTTTGCTGATTTGCATGCTCTGCGCAGGTCTTGGCCGAGGAGTGCTGGCATGAGGACCCGAGTGTCCGCCCACCGTTTGCGGATATTGGTGGGTGAAGACGTTGACCATCTATTTGGTAGAAACCCAGTTGACCTCTGGTTTCAACTGACCTCAATGTATCGTGCTGCAGACCGTCGCTTGCGTGGTCTGAACATTAGTTGCGTGGGCGCCACGTTCCTCCAGCGTGGTACCAACATGACGCAGCAGAGTTTGGTGTTGCATGAAATGTTCCCACCGCACATTGTGGAGAAGCTGAAGCGCGGTAAGCGGGCTAACTTGTGCCAGCAGCTTGCCTGATCTCCCCTCCTCCCACATTTCGATTTCTAGTGCGCGATCAACCTGAATCATTTTTTTTCTCTTGAATAGGCGTCAAGGTCGAGCCCGAGGACCACTTTGTCTCCATCTTCTTCTCAGATATCGTCGGTGCGTGGAAACAAACTCTTTCGGAGCATCGACCATGTATGCATAGACTTGGCTCTCGCTCACTAAAGTTGGCGTGCCGGTGAAACACCCACAGGGTTTACCAACATTTCTGCACAGTTGTCTCCAGCCGAGGTATGTCGAAACACTGGAGTCATCTCAAGACTAGGGTCTGATGCTTGGGGAACCAGGCTAGAACCAATGGGGGGTTTCATGCAAGCTTACCTTGAACGTGCTGCGGCAATGCACTCGTCTCTTAGGTGGCAGACATGTTGGATCGCTTGTACACCCAGATGGATGGTGTGTGCCATCGTCTGGACCTTTTCAAGCAAGAAACCATTGGTACGCTTGCTTACGCCTGTGAAATCCATGGGGGCCTCTGTGACTCAATCTCGGCGGTCTCGGTTTCGTGATTGATAATTTCGGGTTTGAATTGTTCTGATCGTTTGCAGGTGATGCCATGTTCGTGGTGGGCAACTTGAAGCGCAAGCATGATGACCATTTGGTGACCATTTGCGAGTATGCTCAAGAAGTGACTCAGCTGGCCAACGCCACTCCGATTCACCCCGACCGGCCTGAGCTTGGCACCATCAACATTCGGGTGGGCATCCACTGCGGGCCAGTCGTGTCCAACGTCGTGGGAACCAAGAACCCGCGCTTCTGTTTATTTGGTGACACGTAAGTAGATTGCCCTGCCGCGCAACACCAAGTCCAACGATGGATTTGACGGGTGCTAAGAACCGCCAAGCTCACAAAGACTGGGACGCACATGATGCACAGGGTCAATACAGCCTCGCGCATGGAGAGTAACAGCATCAAGAACCACATTCACCTTTCCGGAGCGGCAGCCAAGTTGCTCAAGGAGCAATACGAAGCCCAGCGTCGCACGGACATGGCCCGTAGCCTGCATTGTCGCGGCAAGATTGAGATCAAGGGCAAGGGCGGCATGGTGACGTACTGGCTGCTCCGACCCGAGCAAGTGGAACGATTGGACCAGGGCATTTCGCCAGATGACTTTAACAAGGTTGGTACATGTGCAGAGGAGGAAAGACACCCCCCCTTTGGCTGTGCTTCTGGTGCTTTGTGCCGGATGGCATCAGTCTCCCGCGATTCAGGGCGATGGGCCTCACTGCTGGGTGTTGGTGCGTGTAGCTGGAGGAGGAGAACAAGGCAGCTGCGGAGCAAGCGGCGCATTTGAACAAGCCGCGACGCCAGAACAGTCATCGCATGCCGGACATGAGCGGGGCTGTGAAAGCAGGTCCCAGCTTGCTGTTACAGCCGCGCCAACGCCGTCGCTCAAGCACCGAGTCAGGCCACATGACACCCATTTCAGAGCATCACTTGTCCAACGCCTCCAATCCCTCAGCTTATCGCAAGCGCTCTTCCCTGGGGCCAGTGGAAGAGGCCCTGCGCCAACCAAGCTCGGAGGAAAGCGCACCTCACGCTGAAAAGCGACTGTCTGAGAGCACCATTGAGCTGGCCCTGTCCGGGGCCAGACGCATGTCAGCACCCGACGCTGTGGTGCATTTGGAGACGAGCGAGATTTGAGACGTGCCCTTGAGCAAGCGGCGGGATGTAAAGCGTGATCGTCTGGATGAAATAATTGAGCCCATGCAAATGCAATCGGCTGGTCAAGTCGGTTGGTAAGTTGATGACTGAGAAGGCCACGAGGTTGGCGATTTAAGAGGATGGGGGCATGGGGTGTGGGCCCCGCGCGGAAAAATATGCCAAGGCAATGTGAGATCCGCGTACTCGTCATCCGGACATGAGCAGGTTGCTTTCCCTGGCAGTGATGACTCATATGACGGGAGAAAAAAAGGAAAAAAAATAAAACCATGGAGACAACGGCCAAAGTATGTGGTTAATTTTGAAGGATAGGAAGCAGTGCCTTCATAGTCAAGGCACACGGACGGATGACAAACAACGGAGCAGGCCACTCGCAAAGAGCGCGACAGCCATGGGCATGTCAGGGAAGAAGGTATGAACGAGGTGATAAAAGGAGTCTGGTGGGGTGTCAGTCTGAGACATTTCCAGGCTGACGCACATGAGCCCAGCCAGAATTTAATCACGGTAGCGATCGCCAATCCAGGGGGTATTGCTATAATATTCAAAAAGCACGAGGAACGAGACAGGGCCGCCAGTTAAGAGGATGCGAGAACAGCAAAGTAGTAGGCCACCAGATAGGGCCATGAACAGCTAGGGAAGAGCAGGTTGTTTGTCGGGCCAAGCGCTTACGCAAGGATGGGCTTGGAGAACCACTTGTCGGTCAGGTAGACGACAAAGAGGCCGCCAGCCGCACCGTAGGCTGCTGCCGTGGGAGCCCTTTACATGTTGGTCAGCAGTCAGCCAAAGTGAGCATGCTCGAAACTTTTCAAGGGCACGAGCCGAAGCTGGAAGAAAGAGAACTAGGGCATGGCTGCTCGAAGGGCGAGCAGCTCGAGCCAGGACACGAGTCGTACCAGCGGGTGGCCATCTGTGCAAGGAGCTTGGGGTTGGTGGCTGATGCAAAGGCAGGAGGTGGAGGGTGAGACGGTTTGGACGGCACGTCTGGCTGGCAGGACTCGGCTCGCGCGAGGCATGGGCTTACGGATCATGCTGGCGGTCTTCCAGGAAGGACGATTGATGATGCCGAGGCTGCGCGTGTTGGGTATACAAAACACAGGTTTGTCAGCCGAATGAGTCTGCACACTAGCTGCGTTTGAAGACACCACGAGTGCTGCTGCCGGCTGCGGGCCATGGCAAGGCACACCGACACACTGCCGTCGCCCCAACCTCATCCACACATCGCATCCCTCCCCGCCACCGACCACTCTTGACAGCCCGTTCCTTTTCCTGTGCGACTTGAAAAAAAAAGACACCCTATCTGTTTTTGAAATGCACGACCGACCAGCTCCGCATTCCGAGCGCGCCACGGCGCTGCCGTTTCGTCTTCATCGCCCTCGCACACACACACACACACACACACACTTGACCGACTTTGAAGCGGGTTGCTTTTTTACATACCACTAAGAGAAAATACCCTCCTTACCGCTTTATTTCCCAGACATCGCCTTATTCCTCGGGTTTTGAATTTTGTCAGAAGGAGGGGGGTCAAAAAAATTTGACGCTTTATGCCCTTCCACAGAGGAGAGAAAACGGCTGACATTTGGGGAGCCTTCTCTCAGTCGTTGTCATCAGCGACTTTGGCGACAAAAAGTTCAAAAGACCAACAGTCTTTTTTTCCTGATAGAGCGATTCCGAGATTTCAACCCACCTGCGGAGAAACAACGCGCTCCATAACCGTGTATCATATGACCCAGCTCCCTGGTTCCTTGCCCTTTGCAACTTAACAACGTGTCTCTCCAGTGTCACGACGGAGCTGCACCTCTGCCACAACACTGATATCACCTTGCGTTTTTCCCCCAACGGACACTGACCTCGTCCCTTTCTCTGCGTGTGCCAGTGATCGGCTGCTAAGACCGGTGGCTGCCGTACCTGGCATTCACTTCCCTTTCCCGGCTCAACGGCATCAAGCCCCTTCGCGTTTTTTTTCCTCCTCCAGCAACATGTTCTCCCGTCTCGTCGTTGCCTCCCGGGTAAGCACCGAGCCAAAGCCAAAGCCAAAGCCACAGCTGCTGGGGAAAGGCAGGGTGGTGCAGCCAACCCTCCCTGCGCCTGCCGTATGCCAGTCGCTGAATGAGCACACAGACAATGGGGGCGGGCCGCCGAAGCAGATGCCTGCCAAGGCTTGGCGTGAGGTTGCAGTGGCTGCCATCGTGTCGGTACACTCGTGCTTGGTGCGCGCACTGACGCGATGCGCTGCCATCACCCAACTACCATGGGTCACTGCACCTCCTTGCGGCATTGGATACCCATGCGCACGCTCGTGCTCTCGGCTTGCTGGCTGCCTGCCCCAAATGTCCCCGCGCCCATCCGTTCCAGCTCGCGTGTGCTGTTGTGCTGTGACCCTTTCAGTTGATCACTACTGCACTCGACTGCCAGTCGAGATGAGTGGTCATGGGCATGGTGCGGCCATGACCAGTGCGACAGTGGAGACATCCCAACAGCGCACACTTGCTCGATTGAAACATTCAAAAAGACAGGGCAGCAGGGCGCATGCAATCCAGAGATGGAACAAACTTTTTTCTCGCCAGACGAGGGCCAACTAACGTTGGGGGCCTTCGTCGCGGCACATTGCTTTCCCCCCCCCCCCCCCCCCCCGTCATCTCAATTGCTATTGGCTTTCGTGCTCAATCATAGGCGGCGCCGGCCCTGCGCCAAATTCACACCTCCATCGCTGCCCGTGCCGCTGGTATGATCGTGCCCCGCTCTTCGCTTTTGATTTTGGTCGTCTTCTCTAGGACTTTCTGAGTCAAGGAAAGGGCGTGTGAAACCCTGGGGTGCTGGAAAAAGCGACGTCTTGGTGCACCCTTTCTTCTTTCCCCAGGGACACACCCCCGCCTCTCTCCTTGTTCTCTCGTGATCAAGCGCTTGTTGAGTTACACCTGGTCTCGAGGCATTCCCTGACTGGCATGCTGCCTGCACGCGTAGGTACCTCCGAGGTTTCCAGCATCCTCGAGCAGCGCATCCTCAGCGCTGCTGGTCAGCCCGAGCTTGAGGAGACGGGCCGTGTCCTGTCCGTCGGTGACGGTATTGCCCGTGTCCATGGCCTTAACAATGTCCAGGCCGAGGAGATGGTTGAGTTCAGCTCTGGCCTCCAGGGCATGGCTCTCAACCTCGAGTCCGACAACGTTGGTGTTGTCGTGTTCGGTAACGACAAGCTCATCAAGGAGGGTGATGTCGTGAAGCGTACCGGTGCCATTGTCGATGTCCCCATCGGTGATGAGCTCCTTGGTCGCGTTGTCGATGCCCTCGGCAACCCCATTGATGGCAAGGGTGCCTTCAAGAACGCTCCCCGCTCTCGTGTCGGCATCAAGGCCCCCGGCATTATCCCCCGCAAGTCGGTGTGCGAGCCTATGCAGACTGGTATCAAGGCCGTCGACTCGCTTGTGCCCATTGGCCGTGGCCAGCGTGAGTTGATCATTGGTGATCGTCAGACCGGCAAGACCGCCGTCGCCATTGACGCCATCATCAACCAGAAGCGCTTCAATGATGGCACTGATGAGAGCAAGAAGCTGTACTGCATCTACGTTGCCGTCGGCCAGAAGCGCTCCACCGTTGCCCAGCTCGTCAAGCGCCTTACGGACGCCGATGCCATGAAGTACTCCATTGTCATCTCGGCTACCGCCTCTGATGCCGCTCCCCTCCAGTACCTTGCCCCCTACACTGGTGCCGCCATGGGCGAGTACTTCCGTGACAACGGCAAGCACTCTCTCCTCATTTACGACGATCTGTCCAAGCAGGCCGTCGCCTACCGTCAGATGTCTCTCCTCCTCCGCCGTCCCCCTGGTCGTGAGGCCTACCCCGGTGATGTTTTCTACCTGCACTCTCGTCTCCTCGAGCGTGCTGCCAAGATGAACGACTCCCTTGGCGGCGGCTCCATGACTGCCCTCCCCGTTATTGAGACCCAGGCCGGTGATGTGTCTGCTTACATTCCCACCAACGTCATTTCCATTACCGATGGTCAGATTTTCCTTGAGACCGAGCTTTTCTACAAGGGTATCCGCCCCGCTATCAACGTCGGTCTCTCCGTGTCCCGTGTCGGCTCTGCTGCCCAGACCAAGGCCATGCGTCAGGTTGCCGGCAAGATGAAGCTCGAGCTTGCCCAGTACCGTGAGGTTGCCGCTTTCGCCCAGTTCGGTTCCGATCTCGATGCCGCCACCCAGCAGCTCCTGAACCGTGGTGCTCGCCTTACCGAGCTCCTCAAGCAGGGCCAGTACGTCCCCATGCCCATTGAGGAGCAGGTCGTTGTCATCTTTGCTGGTGTCCGTGGCTTCCTCGATGCCGTCGACACCAACAAGATTGTTGCCTTTGAGAAGGCTTTCCTGCCTTTTGTCAAGGCCAACCACCAGGATGTCCTCGACACCATTGCCAAGGAGGGTGCCCTCTCCGACGCCATGGAGGCCAAGCTCGGCGACATCTGCAAGTCCTTTGTTGCTGAGTTCAACGCGTAAACGCGCGCAACCCACTTTTAATCTTTTGCGCTCGTCTCTTTGAGACAAACCTGTGTGTGGTCTTTTCCTTGGGTCATTGTGCCGATTTTATCAAGGCGGCCGCACCAACCCATGTTGATGAGGGTGTTTCTCGATTGTCTTGATTTCCATTTCTTGTTCTTGTGCTTGATTGGTCATTCTGCAGTTGGGTGTTGACTCCTTTCTCCATGGTGCCACTTCTTCCCATCCTTTTGCTTGCCCCCTTTCCTTTTAACGTCTAGTTCACGCGTTTCCCTTGCTTCGAGCTGCGCGCCTTTCCTTTCCTTTTTGCTCTATGTGTGCGCGAGGAAAAGGACGTGTGAGCTCTAGCAAAAAATTTGAAAATGAAAACTTGACATTTGGTCCTGACGCTTTCTTAACATGTCAATTCTTGCCGGGACCATGCGTCACTCCCCCTGCCACACCCACCACTCCTTCCTTTCACTCGGGACCCTCCTGCTTGACTCTTTGAACATGACCAGTTCTGTTGTGTCATGACTACCGATCCCTCTGACGCGCCTCCTGAGGTCCTCTTGTCTGTGTGTATGTGCGCGCGCGCTCTCACACGCACGCACACACACACACACTCTCTCTTCTCTCTCTGTCTGTTTGTCTGTTTGTCTGTTTGTCTGTTTGTCTGTTTGTCTGTTTGTTAGTCAGTCAGTCTGTCTGTCTGTCAGTCTCTCTTGTCTCTGTCCCTCTCTCTGTCTTCTGTGTCTGTGTCTTCTGTTTATTTATTACTTTCTCGCAATCTGTCTCTCTCTTTTCACACACTTTTTGTCAAAGGATCACACACACACACACACACACACACACACACACACACACACACACACACACACACACACACACACACACACTTACACACACATAAAACACGAAACACACACAGAGCGGGAGTCGGGGGCGGGATTTCAGGAGGGGCGGGGTGCCTCTGTCTTTGGCTGAAGCGTGGCTGGATTCTTGTCGGCACGGGGTTGGGAGTGTATGTGTGTGCAGCTCTTGCTGTGGTGCTTTGGCTGTCTCGCTGCCAGACTGCAGCGATGGCGGCCTGGCGACGCGCCCCCGCCGCTCAAGGGTACATTCTAGGTCGATTACGACTGCCCGTCGCGCTTCTGCTGCTACTGGCAGGATGTCAGATGCGTGCGGCTCGGGGCCATGGATGTCCAGCCATCGTCCCTGGCTTTGGCGATCTGTCCTGCCCCAGCTTGCCGGAATCGCCCAGCGACGGCTTTTGCCAGCTCTCCTGTGCGTTCAATCCTCAAGACCCGTACAACGTGTTTGTCAACGCGACCTGCCAGCCGGATGGGACCTGGGCACTGGACAGCGACTGTCGACCATACCTCGCCAACGTTTGCACTTATTACGCGGACCCAAGTCATCTCAACTGTAACATGAACAAGCTTGAGCTCTCCTTTCCCCGCGGCACGCCGAGAGACTGGACCAAGCTCTATCTGCGAGCAAACGATCCCATGCTCCTGGACTTGACGAGCAACAACCTGATCACCACGGACACCCAGCTGACGTTCAACCTCAATGGCTTGAATCCCTTGACCATCGAGAGCAATCTCCTCAATACACGGGTGGTTGAACTTTCGCTGCGCAACTTGCCAAGTGATAGCATCCCTGATGTCAGGTCCACATCCTTGATACACCTCACCGTGGCCCCAAACAGCGGCACCCTGGATCCAGAGAGGTTCCTCTATACCATACCCAATGTGAAGAGTTTGACGATAGATGTGCGTGATGCTAGCATCTTGCCCCTGGACACTTCGCGCGGCAACTTGGCCAATGTCGACTTTTTGGGCTTTTACACCCAGAACATGACTGAATACTTGGCCGCAGACTTTGCCTCGGTGTGGAGGCCCCAAGAAATGGATGCCTTCATCACATCAACCAACAGTGGGACTATTATTACCCGGGCATTCTTGCCACAAAAACAAAGTCTTCATTATTTTCGGGCCGCTGTCAACGGCCCGGTCTACGTGGACCTAGAAGCCCTGCCTCGTGCCATTAATCACACCCGGCTGAGGGAGATCAGCTTTGAGCTTTCCAAGGCAGCCTTTCGGGAACGCATTGTTTTATTGACCAACTCTGGCACCAACTGCACCATCACCTACGAGAGTGCTATCCGCACCGATCCTTACATCTCGTGCCATTGTGGTGGCACGCCCCAGTTCCACGACGTACCCCACTGTCCTTACGTCCCGCCCTTCTCGTGTCCCACAGCGGGTGATCGGACAATCTTGGCGACTCAAATCTGTGACGGGGTGCCGGATTGCATCAATGGCGCCGACGAAGCCGAATGCTTTGCTGTTGTCAACTTTATCCTACCAGATGCCGCCACTCAGCAAATCCCCCCAGCCTGCACCAGTCTGAGCGTCACTGTGAATGCTGGGCGGGTAAGTTCTTTCTGTGGCTTGAACCCACAACCGCCCGCTCTGACTTATGCAAAGCTGGCTCAGGCATTTCCTCACCAAACCGCCCACACCTGTTGCCCCTTCTTTACCATTCACCAGTTGACCTCAAACTACATCAGCGGGTGCGGTACCTACCGCGGCATGATTCGCGGGCGCGATATGATTGAAATGAACGGTCTCGGCAATACCATTCAGTAGGTCTCGTCCGTCACTTGTGCCATGATTTGCTCAAGAGTTTGCCGTTCGCCTTTTGTGTTTGAGCTTTGCTCATGCATGATTCTGCCACCAACGTAGAATTCTGGCCAACGAAACCTCAGGCTGGTGCTTGTACCGAATTCGTGTCGCATACACCTTTCGGACTGAAGCCGTTGGGGACACAATTGATGTGACAGGCGTGGCTTATCTTTCCGAGGGCAGCGTGGCCTTTCTCAATATTACCAATCCTGGTGATGAGTCGCGTCCAAGCATGCCATCCGCTGACGAATTCAGCGCCCGTTGGGCTGCTGCGGTGCGCGAGTTTGAGGCAACAACGACATTGCCCACCACAATCCCCCCACTGACGACCAACGCTGTAAACAGCGTCACTCACAGCTCTGCCGATGGCGTGGCTATTATCGTGGTCGCCGCGGTGGCGGGCGCGCTTGTGCTCGTATTTCTCTTGGTTATCCTTGTGTGTCGCCACCGCCGACGCACCGGCTTGGTCATGAGTGCAGATAAGCTGCGTGCTCAGTGGGATATGCTGCTCACCAGCCTGCCCCATTCTGATATGCGCAATGCGCTGTTCCTCATTCATTTGTACGTTTGCGCATGCCCCACCTTCAAACCAAGCTTGCAAGCCGCCAATGTGTTCACTCTAGACTGTAGCTTACACATCCCGTGTCGACATCATACCTTTGTGTGGATGCCTTCTAGGCGCGATGTCCAGTTGGGCGAAGAGCTAGGAAGCGGTAACTTTGGGCGCGTTTTACACGTATGTGTGGCGCACCAAGTGACCCGATGCTTGCTCCACTAGCCCGCTTGCTCATTGAAATGCCATGGAATCACGCAACATCTTATAGGGACTCTGGTCTCAAGACAAGGGCAGTGCCATACCAGTTGCCATCAAATTTATCACGACCGCGGTGCGTTGCGTTGCTGACACCGACGACCAAAAGTGAGCAAACTGCGCATTGGCTCACATCTAATGGTATACCCTTCGCTTTGCAGGATGGGATGGATTGGCGTTCGCAACTGCTCAAAGAGGCCGTGGCAATGAATACGATTGGGCAGCATCCGCACGTCATTCAGCTCCATGGCTTGCTCATGACACCGTGGGTGGCCCGTCGTGCGCATCTGACAACAGCAAGCAGTCTTGTCTTCGTTTGAGTCATGTCGCTTCTGGGCGGTGGCTCTGCTACCTAGGTTTGAGGATGAAACCGTGGCATTTGTCATGGAGTTTGCTGCACACGGCGATCTGAGATCTTACTTGCAGCGAGAGGACGTGGAATTTGGAGTAGCCCATACTTTGCAAGCGGCGCACCAGGTCTTGTTTCATTGCTCACGTCTCCATATGTTGACGTGTGTGTGTGTGTGTGTGTGTGTGTGTGTGTGTGTGTGTGTGTGTCGTGCCCTGGCCCTTGCGTTTCTCAATGTTCAATCTCACATTTGCTCTGGATCCGTGCACGCATGCGCACAGGTGGCGCTTGCACTGGGATTCATCAGCAAACAAGGCCTAGTTCACCGCGATGTGGCGGCTCGTGTACGCCAGCCTTGCCCTTCTTGCATGTCATGCGCATGTATATGCCACATAGTACTACCCTTCTATCGACGGGCAGGGAGGGCGCTCATTTGTCACTGTGCTCGCTCGTAGAATGTGCTCGTATTTGAGGACCAACCAACCATGCTGGTCAAGCTGACAGATTTTGGCTGTATGTCCTTGCCCTGATCCTTGGCTTTGGTGCAAAAAAAATCATCTCATGTCGATAAACAGTGGCCCGCGTTCTGTCACAGCATCAGGAGTATTATCGTAGCGCTCAAGACGACAGTCTGCCGTTCCGGTAAGCGTGGCACAGGCTCCAACGCACGGGTTTACGAGGCTGGCAACGGGCGCATCTCACTTGATTTGATGTCATGGCATGGTCGGGTCGACCGTGTGTGTGTGTGTGTGTGTGTGTGTGCGCGTACTTGACGTGCATATGCAGGTGGATGGCCCCGGAGGCAATAACACAGCGTCGTTTCTCGGAAAAATCAGATGTCTGGTTCGTCTGCTTTCATCCTCTCCAAAGATCTGTCAAAGCCAGAATGCTGGGCTGCTCTTACTGATGGGGGTGGGCATCTTCTGACCGGCAGGAGTTTTGGCGTGTTGCTCTTTGAGCTCACAACCCGAGGTCGCGCGCCTTATGGGAATCAAAGCAACCCCGTGGTCCTGCAAAACATCGCACGAGGTAGGTTTGTTTTGGAGACACGAGTCGATGGCCTTGCGTATTCTTGCCCACTTGTGCGTATGCGTCGGTTGGTTGCGGATGCTGATGACATAATGCGGCCTCATTTCTCTCAGGGAAAACCTTACAGCTGCCTCCCAGCGCGCCTGTCTCGTTGCATTGGTATGCTAGCCACAGCCTGTCCTGTTATGCGAGGCGTTTACCAGAGAGTTTTTACTCAGGTCCTCATCCTGTTTGGGTACTGTCCAGGTTATGTGCTGAGATCTGGGTCTTTGAACCAGAGCAACGGCCAAGCTTTGAACAGATTGTCGAGCACCTGGGAGGTGAGCTGAGCTCAGAATCGCAATTATGATGAACATGACATTGGATATCTCGTACATCTCGTATGGTTGTGAACTATTATTATGATGGACGTGTGGAGGTGGAATGCCAATCTAAAACTATTGCTTGATCGTTGTCGCCATCAGTCAAGTGTCGGCTCTGGCTCCGTGAGCTTGAATGCGAAAATCACCAGTCCTGAATCACCAGCCCTGCTTGGTTTGCTTTGTTTTTTTAATGACGATCAACAACAAAAAGCAAAAAAAAAAAAACAGAAAAAAAAAAAAAAAGAACGTGAGTCACATTCACTTTACACACAACAGGAAAGAATGGCTGCGACCACGATTCGATTCGCCAAGATGCACGGATTGGGTAACGACTTTGTGGTGGTGGACAGCGTGCGGCAGTCGTTGCCACCATTGGGATCCAGCTGGGTACAAGCCTTGGCTGACCGCCATATTGGGATCGGGTTTGATCAGTTGCTCGTGATCGAGCCGCCACCAGCCTCGGGGCCTGAGCTTCAGATTGATTTTGTGTATCGCATCTTCAACGCGGACGGCAGTGAGGTGGGCCAGTGCGGCAATGGCGCTCGGTGTCTGGCTGCATACGTCTATCGGTATCATCTGGCACAGGCGGGCGCACAGCTACGCGTGCGCACGCGCAACAGTGAACTGACCATGCATGGAACGCCCGATGGCGCAATCACCGTGAATATGGGTTGTCCCAAATTTGATCCTGCGCAAGTGCCACTCCTAGCGCCCGCACGCGCCGATGTGTACCACCTGGCGCTCGAGTCTGGTGCTACGATCTGCTGCGGTGCCGTGAGCATGGGGAATCCCCACCTGGTAACGCTTGTGGACGACGTTGGTACGGCACCTGTGCTGGAGCTGGGCCCTCAGCTCGAATCCCATGCGCGCTGCCCTGAACGGGCCAATGTGGGGTTTATGCAAATAGTTGATGCCCACTCAGTGCGGCTACGTGTTTTTGAGCGTGGCGCGGGTGAGACACGGGCATGTGGCAGCGGTGCTTGCGCTGCGGTGGCCGTGGGCATTGTCCAAGATCGGCTTTTGTCGCCGGTCACGGTATCCTTGCCTGGCGGTGTACTGGAGATTGCTTGGGCCGGTTTCGACGCGCCGCTCTACATGACGGGACCGGCCGCTCATGTTTTCGAGGGTCTTTTGCCATGGCCTGCTAACCCCTGATGGCGGTTGCATTCGGCCGATGCTTTGTTCCGTGCGATCTCGAGTTCACGCAGCAGGCGCAAGCGTGAGTAGCGCTACTGGCCCAGCCGGAGCCGGGACGAGAGAAGAAGAAGAAGAGGAAGACAATAAAAGCGAGAGCGACCATAGCAATAGACGAAGAGATAGAGAGTGATAGGAGAGAGAGAGAGAGCTTGAGAGATCGAGATCGAGAGAGGGATCAGAGCTATCAAGAGCAGGTTGAGATGCTGAACGCCGGTGAATGCGTTTTGACAATTGGAATTCGATCAGGCCAGCTGATGGAGAATTGAATAAAAAAAATGGTCCCACGCAGATCTGGGCGGTTGGTGAACAGCAATTAGTTTATGATACTCGGTCATCCTTTACGGCGCATGTTGTATTCGGCTCGTGTCCAAGCCCACCATAGCTATTTTCCGGGCTATAGGGACAATTGGTGCAGGGCAGCTTCCATGGTACGCAGCTGCTGCATGAAGCCACGATTTGGTTGTGCGACGGGCCTAAGCGAAACCAAATGCACGCAGGGTGTGACAAATCAACATCGGGCACAGCTGCAGCAGACAGAGCGGAGCAGAGTTGAATGTGGCTGCATGCCCGAGGAAACGAGGCCAACCTGCGCCGCTGTACTTCTCGAAGCACGTCGTCAACATTGAGTTTTTGTGTTGCCATCAGATAGCACATGACCAAGGTGGTCGACCGCGACTTGCCCTGGAAACCGATTTTTGGAAGGAGGTTGTGTGAGGCGAGGCGAAGAACCTCAGAGTTCAAAGAAAAAGCGAGAGGAACCAAAAGTCCCCAGGAACCTCTGAGTAAACATCTGTCGATTGAACGAGTACCTGAGCACAGTGAACAAGAACGGCCTGGCCGGCTCGGTGACACGCGTCAATTTGACGGAGGTGGGGCTCGATGACTGCCAATTCCAATGCCTGGGGGTGTGAACAAGGGGGCTCAGAATGAGAGCGCACCTAGGGATGGTGTTTAGTGCGGGGGGATGCCACACCTGCTCAGCGCTATCAACCCAAGATAGGATCGCTTGGGCGTTTTTTTCGCCTGTGGCGAGGAATTGCTCAACGTGGCGCTGGAATGGCGGAAAGAAGGCCCCCAAATCCTGTCAAACGTTGTGGCACCATGCAAGATACCAGGCCGAGTTTAGGTGGGGCGCGGGTGATTTGCATTGTGCAGGGGCTAGGCTCTCTGGGCAAGGATGATACCTTGGCCACGGTGACGACGAGGGTAATGTCGTGCCGGCTAAGCATGCTTTGGTTGACAGCACGCATTCCACCCAAGAAGAGGGGGCCAGGTGCATCGGAGGGCACCAAGCCTGCGTGCGTATGTTACGATGATTCAAGCGTCGGCGTCAGCACATGTTGCAGTGCATTATGTGATTGCCAAGGGGAAAAGGACTGACCGATGGGAATGGGTACGGCGCCATTCGCTTCCCAGGGAAGGATGGTGGAGATGGGTGCCATGTTCATGATCATTTCCAAAACATGCTCGCCAGCAACATTCTCAGGGCGGTGTTGATGAATCGGGATTTGACACTCTATGGGCGCTTTTAAATGAGAACCTGAATGCAAAATGGCGCAGGTGAGCAGCAGCAAACAGCCTCACTCACCACGGCACAGATTGGCCTTGATGGGATGGGGATCAAAGGCAGCGCAGGCATGCTCCACGGGGGTAAAGTTGATTTGATCGCGCCACGACATGATCGCAGTCCTGAGCGAGGCCAACCTCCTCACAAAGTCGCTGTAGTATTGACGGGCTGCAGACGAGTCAAGACAAGGCCCAGCCCGTCACGACAGGCAACCTGGATCCTGCCCAAACCCCGGGCCGTGGCGCCACGACAGTCGATCCATTCAATTTCCAAACTTGCTCAAAATTATATAAAAATGAGCAAGAGAGAGAGAGAGAGAGAGAGAGAGAGAGAGAGAGAGAGAGAGAGAGAGAGAGAGAGAGAGAGAGAGAGAGAGAGAGAGAGAGAGAGAGAGAGAGAGAGCGAGATGAATTGGTTTGGTCGGTTTGAGAAAGAGAAATAAAGAGAGAGAGAGAGAGAGGGATGTTGTCAGCGCCAAATTTGGAGTTTTTTTCAGTGTGTGTGTGTGTGTGTGTGTGAAAAGTGTGTAGGAGGAGGGATACTCGAGGTAGAGGGCGGGTGACAGAGAGGTGTGGGATGACTCGTCTCAATTGAAAGGTACACGGGAAAGCGACACTAGGTGGAGCTGGGCTCATGCCACCTTTGCGATTAGATATGGAAGGACGCAACGGCGAACACCGTTCTGGTTAGAGGGCTTCGAGAAATTGTACCTCTGCCATGTAGATTTGATATAGGGAAGAGGGGTTTTGGGCACAGGGATGCATTTCAGAGACTTTGACGCGGAGGGTCGAGACGGTCAAAGGCTCGGACCAGGTGGCGTTGAGGAGCTCCCAGGGCGCGAGCCCACCGACAATAGCGGGGCTTGGCGAGGTGATGGTGGAGTCGGCTATTGGAGTAAACTGATTACCAGTGGTAGCCTTGGCCTCGAGGGCCACCGTCTTGAGACGATAGGAGCAAACGGGAACCCAGATGCGCCAACCCAGGAGTTGCTTTGGTGTGGAGAAGGTGACGGTGAGGTACTGGGGTAAAGGCGAGTAGAGAGGGCCATTCATGTCAAAGGTTTTGCCCCTGCTCGCGTCTTCTGAGAGACCATCCACGGCATACTGGGTATTGCATAGGTCGTAAGACCCACAGGCATAGTACTGGCTGGTAGCAGAGGTGGTCCACGTTTGATCCGCATCCCCACCAGCCACCCAGCGAGCAACTGGTTGGCTGGGGGCGGCTGTGGTCGTGGGCAGCGCGAGTCCGGTTTCAAAGCGAATGGATGGGGCACAGAGGTAAATTTGTTCAAAACCACTTTTGATCCAAGGCCTTTGGCACCACGTTTCGGCGCTGGACGCATCAAGGCCGCCGTCACGCACTTGAGCCCCATCATGAATGGCGGTGGCCAGCAGCACCAGGGGACACGAAGACACCAGGGTGTCATGCTGCTTCTGAAGCACACAGCCATTATCGACATTGCCCATCGTGGTGGCGTTGCCCATTGGGTTCAAGAGCCCCCGCGCGGTGGCCAGATCGCTCGCATTCCCGTCCCATCGAGCTGGGGCCCGCACAGGGCCTTTCAACACAAGTTCGCCCTCAAGAGCCCATATCGCCGAAGTACCGTCATCATCAGCCGCGTCCATTCCCATCAACATCCACCCCACCACCACCATCACCGTCACGTGCCACCCCCGCCGCTGGTACATCTCGCTCGATCAACAATCAATCAAATGCCGTCCACACACTCACTCCTTCATCCACTTTCCGGCTTGATATGTGAGTCCGAACCCCCACACATAAAATCACACGCCCAACACACACACACACACACACACACACACACTCTCTCTCTCTCTCTCTGTCTCTGTCTCTTCTGTCTCTCTCTCTCTCTGTCTCTCTCTGTCTGTCTCTCTCTGTCTGTCTGTCTCTGTCTGTCTGTCTGTCTGTCTGTCTGTCTGTCTGTCTGTCTGTCTGTCTCTCTCTCTCTCTCTCAGAGAGATCTCACACACACACAATTTATGACATGCTGCAAGACACTGAATGTCAGAAAAACAAACAGAGTTGAATGATAAGACTTACAGTACTGTAGTTAATGTCGAAAATTAGAGGAATAATGTAGTAAACATAATGTTTAAGCTTGTAGTTTGTGATGTAATATTTAAACTTTAAGAGGGAGAGAGAGGCAGTTTTAAGCTCGATCAAACGCACGCGAGGTCGTGGTCGTGGTCGTCGTGGTCGTCACCTCGTCGTCGGTTCTCTTGGCTTTTGGACACTGGTGTGGGTACGGCATCGAGGCAGGCATAGGCCAGTAAGATGAGCTGTGACAGCGGTACGTTCGTCAGCACTTGCTGCTTTTCAAGGATTCCGATGGTGCTGCGACACCTTTGTGCGTTGGGCCGGCCCCGCCCCTCACGTCAGGGGCGAATCGTGGATAGAGCGTGCCTTTTTACAAGAGTACCAATTGGATCATGGCGTTCAGTTTCCGCCCGGCGGGTTTGGACAGGTCCTGGGGTGAGCTGGCACTCCAAACTTTGCGTGTGAAACTTGTCGCGATTGCACCCGGTCACATGGCTTCTCATGCCAGCATCGATCGACGAACCCGCTTGTAGCTGCACGCGTCTTGCTGACAGTCAAGCGGCCGTGGTTAAGAAGGTGCCTTTCAAGGTATGCCAACGACCTGAATTGCCCCCTTCGGATTTGGGTTTGTCTTGTTGACCGAGCAAGATCGACGTGTGCCCTGCTCACGTTTGGCTTTGCAGTCGGCTCAAGAGCATCTGACCGCCTACGCAGCCTGCGACGAGTCACCCTGGAAGGAGTTTCGCCGAGAGCGTGACATTCTGTTGCAGCTCAAAGGCAACGATCTCTTTTGCCAGGCAAGCCGGAACATCAGATACGGCATGGCTCCCAAACTTCCCCACAATCTCGCTTACACCCCGCTCCCAACCCATAGATGTATGCCATTTACTGGAGCGATGATCGCTCGAAACAAGATGACATGTATATTGTGATGCACCGCTACCGAACCGATCTCTTTGACGTAAGCGCGACACCTGCATCGTCATAGCCCTTGCATTTGAGCATAGGTGCAGGGAAGAGCGAGCACAATACCAACCGTTCTCTCCTTGATGCTTGCTGATGGTGCCTCGTTCTGCTCTCTGACCCATCATGTCGAGACACAGGTGGCCATGCCCGGTTCCAGCAATTACCGTGATCTGACGGTCCAAGAGCTGCAGCTGGTGGCGCGCCGCACGATCATGGCCGTGGCCCAGCTGCATAGCTTTGACATTATTCATCGGGACATCAAGCTCGAAAACGTGTGTCGCGTTCCCATCGACCCCCCGACCGTATGCCAGCCTTGGGTTTCAAATGCCTCACGCATTGGTGCCCATGGGTGCAGGTTTTCTTGGACGATCCGACCGACATGAACACCTCGGCCCTGGGCGATTTTGGTATGACGCCAACCTTTTGCGTCTGATATCCTATCACACTCTTGTCAAATGATCGCTCAGCCACTTCAGGGCACAGTGCATCGGCATATACAACCGTGATACCTCACACACTGGTCGCATTGGCACAGGCTGTGCACGCGTCCTACCTCCGTCAACGGATGAGGTCACTTCCAAAATTGGGACCAAGGTTTGTGGCCGGCTTTGACCACCCTCTTTCTGATGGGCGGCGTCGCTGGTTTATCCTCCTCCCCACGTTTCTCCGCATCACGAGGCATGGCTGTGCATCATCCCCGATTTGCTAGACATTCTGGGCCCCCGAAATGCTGCTGGGCAACGGTCATTATGGCCAGGCCGTGGATATCTGGTCGCTGGGCTGCTTTCTGTACACGCTTCATGTCAAGCAGTACCCGTTTGGCGTTGACCGCCATCCCCGCTTCGCTCGCAATGTGGCCTCGGCTACGTGGACCCGTTCAGTCATTGCAGATGACCACCTTCGACACTTGCTGGAAGCTTGCTTCCAACTGGATCCTGAAGCCCGTCCTTCCGCCGAGGACATGCTCAAGCATTCGTACTTTGCCCAATAGAAAACACGCCCCCCCGGCCTCCCCCCTCGTTGCCTCTCCGATCGAGCCTGCGAAGGAAGTGAGAAACATTTACTCCCTGGCCGCCAAGCCAGAATTTGAATAGATGAAACACCTAAAACCCACGCCCTTCAATATACATTTTGTACAACACAAAAAGTGTGAGAAACAGCCCACTTCACTTAAACCAATGTGTGATAAGCGTCACACTGAGCCAGACTACAAGTGTGACTTAATACACTCTTTTCTTCACCTCATTTTTCTCTCTCTCTCTCTCGCTCTCGCTCTCTGTCGGTACGTACGAAACCTTCTGGGGCCGGCGGGGGGGTCGCTCGACTGTTGCTGGTCTTGGTCTTGGGCTTGGTCTTGGGCTTGGTCTTGGGCTTGGGCTTGGGCTTGGGCTTGGGCTTGGGTCTGGGGTTTGGATGGCGCAGGGCGGCGGGTGCATGCACTACAGTCAGCAGTTGGGGATGGGGATGTGAATGCAATCTTGCGCGGATGCGCGCGTTTGTGTATCGTCAAGACAGGGCTTGATTGGATCGCTTTTGGTGGGCGCCAGCCTCATCTTGTGGACGTGTGCCCTCTCCTTCTCTAGCACCAGTCGCCATGGGTTTTGCTCAGACACTGTACCAGACGGTCTTCCGTCGCAACTCGACCACGCTCGTCTTTATCGCGAGCGGTGTCTTCGTCTTTGAGCGTATCTTCAACCCCGTCACCGACGGCTATTTCTTCAAGCGCAACGCTGGCGTACGTGTCTCGCAAACGGCGTGCAACCAAACAGACTTGTGTGCTGGTCGACACCAGCCAGCACTCGGCCTGCTAGTGCATCTCGTCGTCTGATTGACATGGCATGGCCAAAGCATCGCATCCTATCTCATCACTGCCACGTGCCTGCCCACCCTCCTTTTGCCCTTTTTTTCGGATTGAGTAGAAGCTCTACTCAGACCTGCCCTGCGCCAAGGCCGAGGCTGACTCGGCATAAAGTGTGACTCCTCTGGCAGCGCTCTAAGCATGCTAGCTTCCCTTTTCCCAACGTCCCATGATAGGGCTGGCGAGCTTGGTATCGCCTGCGGCGCACCAACCTCCTAGCTATACTCCAACCTGCCTCAGTGGGCCATGTTGACCCGCTAACAGCCTTTCTCCATCCCTCTTCACCTCAGATGATTTCTGAGCATGTGCAGGGGATGATCCTTATCCTCTTGGTATTTGTTTTTTTTGGCGTGAAAATACAAAAAAAATCAACACAAAAAGCCCATCCGCCCTTGGTCTCTTTGCTCTCTTTGCTCTCTTTGCCCAGTGCCAGGGAAATAGCGACCTCCTTCAGGCTGACCAGTCAATGCACGTCCATGCCGGCGAGCTAGATGGCAAGCCTCCAGCCAGGATCCTTTGAGTCTGCACACCTGATTCTTGCCATCCTACTTGGTACTACAGCCGCGCGACACACACAGTTGAACGAGTAGTCATCGGCTGGCCAAACAACAGAGTCAAGGGAAGAGACAATTCGCACCCCTGTGTCCTGACACTTGTGCCAAGTTACAACTACAGCCCTCAAAGAGGAATAACCGAGTTGGTCAAATCGATGAACTCCCGAGACTCTCCCATCCCTGCCTGTGGGCTCACAGATTTCTCTGTCTGTTCCCGTCTCCATGCGCGCGCCCGTGTGAAAGCTCCTTTGTGTCCGTCCATGTCGTCGTCGGCCCTCTCCGGCTGCCGCTGACCCTATTCCCGAATCGTAACGAATTGTTGAAATCGTTTCTTGTGTGTGTGTGTGTGTGTGTGCGGTGTGTGTGTGTGTGTTCATTTTTTTTTTTCAATTTTGTTTCAATTTTTTTTTTCTCTCTCTCTCTCTCTCTCTTCTGTGTGTGTGTGTGTGTGTTCGAGTCGACGGGGTCAGTGCGGCGGCAGTGTGTGGCGTGGGCGTGGGAGGGGGGGGGGAAAGGGGGGCGTTGGATGTGACACTGGTGGTGGGATGGCTCATGGTGGCTTTTACGATGGGGCTTAGAAGCACGGACGGACAGACTGGGTTCTGACGCCACCAGCAACTGGAGCCATGTCGCTCAAGCTGACGCTGCTCTCGCTTCGCGAGGACTGCAGCAACTTTGACGAGGTCGTCGAGAAGGTGCTCAAGCTCATTCCTACCGACATTGACCAAGCCCGCATCCTCGAGGCATGTTTCTTCTGAAGCTCGGTTGTTGCGCCTGCCCCATTCGCAACGGCGGTTCACTCTCCGCACACACACACACACACACTCTCTGTACTCATGGACGGACACACCCTAATCCAATGATGTCTTCGCACTTGCGCCATCAAATCTATCTCTATCAGACCTTGGCCAGCACTCTCATTCAGGCCAACATCGACAAGCACAATCTGGCCACGGGCCTTATTGACCTGTGCGGCGCGGTGAGTGCGTGGGTGCTTCACTTCCTGCACCCGCGTCGTCTCCCCCACCCCCACGCAAGACCTCACTCCTTCCGGTCCAGGTTGCACGTAAGAAAGGCTGGCAGGAAGCCATCGTGGAGCCCCTGCTGCGCAATTTGCAATCGGCTGTCCGTCACTTCCAAGGCCAGCGCCAAAAAAAGCCCACCGATTACTTTGCCGTCGTCAACCTCTACAGTGTGGTCAGTGGAGCCTTAAAACCCTATCCTTCCTGCCCCTCCGCCCCGGCCATCATATGCATGCCCATGCTGGAAAATGCCTTGTCTTGGTCCCTCATTCCATTGGCATGATCTTTGTGCTCCCTAGTTTTATACGACGGTGCAAAAGGGCGATGAGTTTATGCATACGCTCCTTGAGAGTCTACTCAAGGACAAGGTAGGACCAAGTCTATTGGCCATGCGAATCAAACTTAGGAATGGGGAAAGGGGCAGGGGTGATGGTGATGGTCGTGCGCATCGAGGGAGAAGTGGAAGGTGTGAGCAGGGATGAGATATAGAGGTGAACAGCAACAGCAACAGCAACAGCAACAGCAACAGCAACAGCAACAGCAACAGCAACAGCAACAGCAACAGCAACAGCAATAATAACAACAACAATAACAACAGCACCAAGTGCTCAGTGCCGCGTGCAAAGTCTTTGCTCACCACACCGCCAATCACTCTACACTCTTAGGACAATGAGCATCTGCTGTCAACAACTGTCAACCTGGTCAAGCCCATCATTCAATGGAAACCTGCTTTTAATGACATCGTCGAGCGCATCGAGGCAGATGCAGCCATGCGGTGAGCCGGCGTGCAATCCACTTTCGCACCCTGCTGTGTCGACTTTTTGTCGAGATTTGCTCTGGCATGTCACCCGGGGCGCTGCAGGTTCTCGCAGCAGGGTTATGTCAATTGACCGAGCGCTCACGTCTGATAGGGCAAGCGGCTTCAACGCCGACGCCGCCGAGTTCCTTCCAGCAGCAGCAGGAGGCAGTGGTTATGTTGCCCCCTTCAACCCCCAAGCCTCAGCCTTTGTTCCTGGTTCTTGGAGCAACGCAACAGCCCCCGCCTCGGTCCGTTGTGCTTCATGCTCGTGTGTTTATCCAATTTTGCCCGGACGTGTTTCTGTGACCACACCTTCCACTCTTGCCCTTCCCTCACCGATCAACCACATTCCCTCCCTTTGCGCTTCAACAACGCGATTCACGTTGTCCCTTCACTCCATTCAGTCTGGAGCAGCTTCGCGAGCCATCCCCCGTATGTTCCATTCCTGATGTTTTGTAGCCCGTGTTGTTGCTTCGAACCTTCGCCGCTCATCCTTTCCATCATCCTGGCTTAGTTGTGGACCCCACTACCATCAGCACGGGCCCCTCCATGTTTGAGTGCGTCCCGTGCTCACCAGTTCTTCTGCCACACTTTGCTCAGCTTCTGCTATGGAACACAACTCACTCACCACCACCTTGTGCAGCGAATACGACACGGCAGATGATGCGGCTACACAGAGCAAGTTTCTTGACCAACTATTGCAAGAGACAGCGGGGATGAATGATGCCGAGGCCAACGACTACATGGAGGCCAAAATGGCTCAATTGGGCTTGACTGACGATCTTCCCTAGACCCGCGGCGCTCCCAACTGACCTACATCCCATAATCATTCTTTTTGTCTTTCGTTCGCTCTTTGTCATGTTGATGGCCATAGTTTTAATTGTATATCGTGCCAGAATAATAGGGGGCAGCAGTGCCAGGACCTTGGATGTGTCTCAGAAACTGTGGCCAATTGCAAATTACAAAAGATAGGCTTGGCGTGTGCTGCTCGCTGCTGCATTGAGCACCGAGTCGCTGGGGTCCACGCTCACGGGAATGTTGACAGTCGCACAAGCCAAGCCTTGCGCACAGGCTTGTACCACAATCGGTGGCTGACTAGACGGTGCAGACATGGGTATCACCTAAGAAATGATGAAGTGAGACAGACATGAGGAGCAAAACATTGCTGGCAAGCATAGCGCGACGACAATACGCCTCACCCGGGTGCGTCGGTTGCTGTCCACGTCAACAAACTCAAGTAGATCGCGATCGCCCACAGCAACCGTTGTCACTTGCACAATGCCACGCATCAGGCCGTGGAAGGCGCTGCGCCAAGTGGCTTGATTAGGTTCATGGCAACGTGGATCACCGTTCCCGACAGCCAGCACCCGACCTGCGACATCCAAGAAAGAAATTCTGAGTTGACGAGAAAACCAATACATGCTGACAAAACGAAGGCCTCAGTCACGAACCGGGTCCCGATAGGATAGCAAGTGTCACGTTGTTCGAGGCCGTGGGCACGACCTGCATCATGAAGTTTATCGAGAAAGCCGGGTGAGAGGCGCAGTGGCTAAAGATGTGGTCAGTGCAGGCCACCACGAATTGGACTACCTGGCCTTGAGCATCAACGACTTCCACGCGCAACAGCGCTGCATCCTAGGACGAAGCCACGGGAGTCAAGGCAGCCAATTTGCACCTGCCCAAGCCTGCCAGAGCATTCTCACAGTGGGATGGCAAGCGCGCACCTGGCCATCGGCGTAAAGGGCCTTGCCAGTGCCAGTGACAGGGCTGGGGGCGTCAAGGGACACTCGCAGGCCCGTGGGGGCACCGGGCTTGAGGCGCGAGTACGAGGCAACACCTTGGCCAGCCTTGTCGAGAGCTACCACGGTCAGGTTGTGACTCACAGCCGCCGACACCGAGCCAAAGCCATAGAACGGTATGTCAATCGTCTCAGTGAAATTGCCGTCGACGTAGACGGCCACCTTTTCGGTGTTGGCGTACACATTGAAGACGTGTGTTTCAGCCTGATCACTAAGGCAGTTGCCAGCTTGAAGTGACAAGATTTGGCCTGAAGATGAGTTGAGTGTCCATTGTTGATTGCTGGCATCGGAACAGCTCCAGAGTCCAACGTTTGGTCCTGTTTGATCGTAGACATCGAGGCACTTGCCATTGCTTCGTGCCACAAACATCTTGGTCGTGGCATTGTAGCTTTAGAAGGAGTCACGGAAAGAGACACCAGAGCAGATGCGGATGCATGCAGTCACATGAGGGAGCGGACCATGATCAAGCAGCAAGGTCAAGTTCGGGCGATTGGATCTTTGTTTTGCCGACCTGAAGAGGTCATTCTCGGTGCACACACGCAAAGGTAGCGGGTAACAACCCGAGCTGTTGTCACATGTGCCACCGATGCACAAGCCCGTATCTCGATTGCGCAGCTGGCCGTTTGTAAAATCAAACGTCTACCCAAGGCAAGATGTAATGAGGGCTATGCTTTGAATGAGACAACCACCCGTGGGCTGGAAATTTGGAAGGGGTGGCTAGTGAGCTGAGGCTCACTTGGGTGCTGCCAGCAATGCATGGAAGAACGACAGCGGCGTGGGGCATTGGTGGCTGCTCTCGTAAATCTTGCACAATATACGCCTGAGGACAGTCCATACGATGAGTCACCGATTCCATATGGGGCCACAACCAGGGCACGGCAGACCTGGTTCGATGCGCCCACGGGCGGCCGATCGGCCGAGGACTCTGAGATATTGCCAAGCCACCAACTACGATACCAATATGCTGCAGCTTTGCTGAAACCTGGCATTGTGCACGGTGCCAGATAGTTGAGATATGCACCACTCACAAATACTGACCGGGTGAGATCGGGAGGGTGCTTACCACTCAAATCATAAGAGCCAAAGGAGCTGCTTTTGTGGGGCCAACCGTTGTCTGCTGGCTCGCCGTAATAGTCGAGAGCAGTCTATGAAACGCAAGGTTTTGCATGCCAGGTTGCAACTCAGCCCGCGGTTGTACTTTCCAATTCTTAAAACTGGGGACGCAGCCTTCCCGGGCCACCCTGCCAGCTACTAACCCAGACCATTTGGCCCACGATCCAGTCGGGCGCTTCTGTCCAGTTGGTCTGTGAGGACACGCAGGGTGCATTGAAGTTGGACAGTGTGGCAATGGTGTCGTTTTCAACCAGTTCACCACGCATAGTTGTGCAGCTGCAGGGCCGCACATAAAGTCGTGTGCAGCGCGCGTGGGGGGCGGATTTCCAAGTGTGGCGGCAAAGTAGCCAGACACAGAAACAAGGCGCGGGTCATCCAACGGAATGACTAGTGAGCAAACAGTATGTCGATTTGGTTTGTGCAGGCGTAACTGCTGCCATTGCGGGTGGTACCTGCAGCATTCGGAGGCATAGGATGGTCGATTGGGAAACTGGGTGTGCAACTGATCAAACTTTCCGTAGTCTTGATGGGAAAACCCCTGGTGATCAAGACAAGTGGTGAAGGAAGACGCCACTTATGCAGTCAGCAACGCGTCCATAACACACCTGAACATCGAGCAAATTGGACAAAAGATCGCCAAACGTAAACATGTTGGCCAACACGGCTCGCGATCCATCGTAATAATAGGTGATGTTGCGAAAACCAGGACCGCCAGTCTCCAAGTCACCCTCACAGCCAACCTGAAGAGTGTGCATGGACGTGTGAAGTTGTCAAGAAAGCAGCGTCGGCCAATCATAGAAGCCGGGGTGAGTGGCGCCACAGCTCTTGGGGAGTAGTGGCTCGGTAGGTGTGTAGACTACAGCCCAGTGCCGGCTTGTGGCCGAGCGAGTTGGCTGACCTCGTTACAGAAGGACCAGATGATCACTGAAGCGTGGTTGCGATCGCGACGCACAAGGTCGCCCATGTTGGCCACATAAATGGAGCTGTTCGAAAACAGCCGGTTTTCATCCATGACCATGACCCCCAATCGATCCAAGATGTCGAGCAAAGCAGGAGCAGGGGGCTGTCAAGGCAAGGGGCATCATCAAGTACAAGGGCAACTTGAGAGTTGAACTAGGCAAATAAAAGGTTTTGGGTCGAAACGGCACAGGTGACATGGTACGGACGTTGTGGCTCATGCGCCAGCTGTTCCCGCCCAGGCCGCGCACAGCTTGAGCGCGAAATAAATTGATACGATCCAACACGGCCGTGCCGACACCTACACCAGCATATAAATACGGTAAGCATGAGAGGATGAGATCGGTTCTTTGTCTTTTCATATGCTCGTCTAGCATCTTTGCGGACGAAGCGGGGAGGGATGGGAGGCAGCATTTGTGACCCACCCTCAAAGTCATTGTGGTTGCAAAACCCTCGAGACTTGACGTGTGCATCGTTGAGGAACAAACCCTGGCTGGCTGTCCAGGTTGTTGAACGCATGCCCACGGTCACGTTGATGGCATCCACGGGTTCATCATTTACCACGACCGTTACGACCAGCGTGTACAGCCAGGGTCGGGCAACGCTCCATAGTTGGGCATTGGCCAGGTCTACAGTGCCACGAATCTCGACCTATCCGGTGTGATGAGGTTTGCAACCAGTTACGACTAGACACATATGGACACTTGGATACGAGTATCGAGGGAGGATATGAGACCAATCGGCTCGATTGGCCTACCATGTGACCAGATGCTAGCGCAGTGCTTCCAGTGGTATTATGGGCTACGCGAGAACCTGTATATCGTTCAGACCAGAGTAGCAAAGGTGGGATGAGGCGAGGCAAGATACGTGTATGCATTGCATTTAAGCTTGGCAGATGTGAACAATGACGACCTTGACTCCAAAGTTCGAGCACCAAAGAAGCTGCAACGGCGGTGGTTCTCCAATTTCGAACTTCAGCGCGCACATGGGTGATGGTATCTGCAACATCTCCATCGACAGGGCTGCGGCGGTTTCGATGAGCGTTGTCCGCAAGTTTACGTGAAGAACAGATTGGGAAAAAAAAAAAAAAAAGAAAGAAAGCAGGAAGGACAAGACATCCAATACTCAAAGCGCCCCGGCGCCCCGATGGTAGTTCAGGCCTTGGCAAGCTTCTTCTGTCTGTCTGAAATTGGCGACGCTTACGTTTGGCCGTGTCTGATGGGGGAAGTCAAATTAGCATAGGAGCCGATGCCATCAGGTTGGACGTGGACGTGGTCTGTTCGCGTCAAAAAAGCATGCCTGTAGATGCCTCCACCCTCGTACCACCTACACAGAGAGTTTGAATCAGGAAACGAGGTTTTTCATTGTACGTGGGTGCGCCCGTACACGGGCCAGCCCATATTGCGTGGGCTGCCACATGCGGAATTGACGTTGATTGAGGAAAGATATCATCACGGCCACGAACCAGCCGCTGCCTGTGGTGCCGTCAACGTAGACGGCCAGCAGGTTTGGGGCAGTTGTATTGCCGTAGCGCAAACTGCTGATGTTGTCAAGCCGAACGGCAAAGGAGGTATAGCCGCAATCATGGACATGTAGAAGCTGGCCGTTGAGAAACACGCCAGAAATTCGAAAAATGCCTTCAAAATAGATCCATATGGCGCTGCTTTGCCAATCTGCGGGGATAAAAAAGTGCTTGCGATACCATGACACGTTGCGCGGCAAATAGGAATGCCCTCCTGCGGGGTCATTGGGGTTGTAGGCTCCTTCGATGACAAAATCGTGCGGCAGATCCACCACGCGCCATGCGCTGTCGTCCAAAGACACGTCTACGGATTGAGTGCGCCAAGCCCCGGCAGACTTGAGCTGTACTGACTGTGGTGAAATTTAGCCAGAGCATATGTTGTCATGTGTACACACTGGCTCCGGCAGTTGGCACGGTGACGCTCCCGCTGACGTTGCGACCTTGCCCCATCCAGCCAGTGCTGCTCGGTCGACAATACTCTTCTTGACCAGTCCAGCATCCGGCACCCGTGGCCACTGCAGGGCTGTGCGAGGATGAGACAGCGCGCAGCACGCCAGCACAAAGATGCACATCCGGCCGGTCAGATCGCTCATTGGAAGCGAGGGAGGAGTGGTCACACAAAAGGTGACGCCTAGGAGGTTTGGAAAACTCACTCAAGCCACTGCCAGGTAGCGCAATTGGGATCTGAGCAGCAGGCATCACGACAGGCAGATGCAGATGTGTTTCCCTGCAGATACGTCGGCAACCAAAAAAACAAACGATGTGGGCCAGTGATTTGTCAAGCCAAAGCGGCGTCATCGGAGCCTGCCGACAGGTGTGGCAGCGGTAGCCAGTCGGACCTCAGCATTAGCCGTCAGGCCGATGCAATGAATGTCACTCTTGTTGTAAGGGAACGCATTTTGAGAGCAGGTGGCGCTCGTGCCAATGGGGCCGAGATAGTGGCGCCAGGCAAAGTCAAAGGGCACGATCGTGCGCTGTCAAAATCCAAACAGATCGACTGATGAGGCAAATCATCCATCTTCTATGGGTGTGCGACCAACAACAAGAGCGCCCCGAGGCCTCACCGAAGCATCAACCGCCGCTGCCCCAAGCACAATCACCGCACAGAGCGTCAAAGCAACCTGGAACCAGCCCTGTCCCACTTGCTGCTGCTGCTGAACACGAGCCATCACGATCGGATTCCATCAACAGTTACTTTTTTTCCTTTATTTTGCAAAACATCAACAAATCAAAAAATTCTAAAATTTAGACACACACACATTCTGACACACACAGACACACTGACACAGACAGACACACAAACACAGAGAGAGGAGAGAGAGAGAGAGAGAGAGGGAGTATGAGAGAGAGAGAGAGAGAGAGTTTGAGAGAGTTTGAGAGAGTTTGAGAGAGAGTTTGAGAGAGAGTTTGAGAGAGAGTTTGAGAGAGAGTTTGAGAGAGAGTTTGAGAGAGAGTTTGAGAGAGAGAGAGAGAGAGTTTGAGAGAGAGAGAGTTTGAGAGAGAGAGAGTTTGAGAGAGAGTTTGAGAGAGAGAGAGAGTTTGAGAGAGAGAGAGAGAGAGAGAGAGAGAGAGAGAGAGAGAGAGAGAGAGAGAGAGAGAGAGAGGGAGAGAGAGAGAGAGAGAGAGAGAGAGAGGGAGAGAGAGAGAGAGAGTTTGAGAGAGAGAGAGAGAGTTTGAGAGAGAGAGAGAGAGAGAGAGAGAGAGAGAGAGAGAGAGTGAGAGAGAGGAAATCAAACGACTTAGTGTTAGCGACTTGATCGCTTTGGAATGTGCGACAGTGTGGAGAACGAGGGCGCGTGACCTGGTTTGCGTGTGTGGACGATTCGGGACTTGTTTGTATTGTCTCAGCACAAATGACTGGTCGTGTTGTGTCTGGATGCCTGACGGAGTTTTCAAGTTCGCTTTCTTTCGAAAAAATACTGCCTCGATCAGGCAGCAGGTTTGTCTCATCTTGGTGGGCTCGAAACACCTTGACTGCTGTAAATCTGCAGACACAGAGCTTGGTCAACACTGAGCAACCCTAGCCCAGGCTCTAATGGAAACGCGATCGACCGCTTGGTCCAGAGTCAGGCACAGTGTCGAGCCGCTCCAGGGCAACGACAACAGCACGATGCCATGCCTCGACATTGCCCCGAAACGCCAGCTTGATCTCCTGCAACGCAAACACGCGCTGATCAGACCAAACCAAGGAGGGGGGCAGGCAAGTTGAAAAGGGGGCGGAGGCCAAATATATTTTCGAGCACGACTCACGCTGCTATAAAAACGGGCAAGAGTGGCCAGGAGACCGTCAACGGCATGGTGCCACCCGCCGAGAGAGGGAAGGGGCGGTTTGGTGGTGGCCAGCACCTGGCGCTTGGCGTTGAGGGTTTGTGCCTCCAGTCCTCCAGACTGCAGACTTCCTCCAGCACCTTGGGCCCACGGCTGCTTCTCGGCCGCCGCCAAGGCCGTGTACTGGTAGGAGACTTGCTCCAACAAGCGAGGGAGCTCGCGAGCCACAGCAGCAGACCTGTGGGACAAGCATTGACCATCGAAATGAGTCAGCGATCTCATCAAGGATGCAAGAGGGATGGCCCTATTTTTGTTGTAAAACTCGAGGAAAATCAAAAGAAAGGTGCAACAGCATCACCGATACGAACATGGCCTTATTGTCTTGCGCCAAGGTAACGACACGCTGGAGAATTTGAAGAGAAAGGATGGCTGGAAGTTGTTGACACAGAGACTGGTACATGGCAGCTCGATGCGGCGTAAACATCAAGACTTGCATGATAGTCCATCTGGGTGATTGTTTTCCAAGCACACATTTGTAATGAGACGCGACTTGACGTGCTCTCACGGAAAGAGTTATGTTTGAATCACAAGGTGTCGAGGCCAAATTCGAAGCTGAAAATTGCACTGGGAGGGATAGCCACAAAGATTGAGATAGGTTCTTCATACCGTTGTAACCATCCCCAGACTGCTCCACGGATCGTCCTGAGCCAGCGCAAGGGCCACGCGCGAAGTGGGCTTGCCTGGGCTCGCACATATGCATCATAAGCTATCCAGGGTCGGGGGGGGGGGAGGAATCGGATCAAACCCAAAACGTCACTGCTAGCACGGCGGCCTACCTTCTGAAGGTCGAGGAGATGGAAGGTACCGCCGGAAGGATCGCTACGATAAGGTTCTTTTGCAAAATACGCCACGAGATCTGGTACGCTGCCGAAGCGTCGGTGCTTTGTGTCTTCCATCAGCTCAAAGCCTATTTGCATGCAAGGCCGCGCCTGAGACTGAATGCACTGGCTATGCGCTGCTCGCTCTGCGCTTCCAATGCATGAAGGAGCCAACCAACGCGTGTCAGTAAGACCAGGGCACTCACAGTGGTCCTTGTGCACGATAGTCCCAATCCAGTGCGTGGCAGCATGAATGGCTTGGGTTGCACCTCCACTCGACCCGCCTCGTGCATCATGCACTACTGTCAGGCTGAAGCAATCGTTGCGGGGGTGCCGATGAACCACAAAGCTACCATCCTCCTACAGGATCAGAACAATATTCCAGCGTAAGACGGCGAAAAGCACACCGTGTTCGTTTCAAGCATGTCACCCGCACCTGATGACGCAGCATCTCAAAGGCATCGGCCACATCTAGCTTGGGCTGAAACCAAGCAGCTTCGATGCGCAGGGCCAGTTGTACACCGCGGGCCTGTGCATTCAGATCAAGTGGGGGTCCCAGGATTAAAATCAGCAATGGTAGTTTGACACAACCGCACGCGCCGACAAGTTGGGCAACTGCATTTGAGATCGCAAACCTGATCAAGCATGCTGCGGACGGCTCCGGGACGCGACACGTCTTGCAGCGAGCTGTCCGTTGTCTACATACATGTGGAGGTAAATTGAACAATGTTACGGGTGCGGCCACAGGTAGCGGGTGGCACATTAGCGTCTTGCCGATGAGTACCGACCGTGTGCATATGGGCGACACCGTGCTGCTGCCAGCCAACTCGTGGGGCAGCCACAGTTCGTGGAGTGGAAGGCCTGTGATAGACAAGACGGGTGTTTGTCATGAGAACCAAACCAAATCGACCAATAGAGCGGCTGATGGGCCGGCTTGGGCAAGGCCAGGCAAGAGGTACTTGCGTGGCAGAGGTGGTCAGAGGCCCGATGGACGGATCCACCTAATGCAGTTGTTGTTTCCTTATGAGTGCGGAAGAGGCTTGTCTTGATGCATGAGGTCGGCACGCTCCCCCATACCTGAGTGGCGTGCGTGAAGAGACGCTTCAAAAGCTGGTCCAAGAGGGCCGACCAAATGTCGGTGCGGCCAGCCAGGTTTTGAAACCACGAAGCCACGATGGCCGGGGCCTGGGCCGCATACAAAACCTGTACCAAGCTAGCCAGGGCGGTCGTGGTGACGCAGGCGTCTGCAGTGTGGCATGATTAAGCAGGGTGAGGCATCAAGGAAGCAAGATGAGCAAGGGCTCGAAAGGCAGCAGGTGCGCACCGTTGCTGTCCATGGCACTCTTAACGTCGGAGATGGAGGATAGGGTCAGAGCTGGTACTGGGGGCTGCTCGGGGCAAGAGAAACCAATTGGGCTTGAAGTGAGGAACGAAATAAAAGAGGAAGTAGGGCACGAGTGGCGGTTGGGTACCCACTTCAAGACAAAAGGCGAGGGCAAGCTGCCGGAGGATGTCAAGGTGAACAGCCACCCCCCCTAGGGCCAAGAAGAAGATCAAGCTGCCTGTCCAGGACAGAGAAATCAAGTCGTTGGCTAGAGTGGCGGACAGCAAGATCACTAGGGCAGCAAAGACGCCCACAGTGCCGAGCGCCATCTTGGCTTGCCGGCGATATGCTTCGGATACCACTGCCACAATTCTGTTCGTGTTACCATGCATGACGTGTTGGGAGCAGGAGGCATGAGGCTGGGCGACGATGGGGTACTCGGGCGATAGGAAGTACGTCAGCCAGGCTTCTTACCTGCGCACCAGCTTCAAGTGTACAGGTGCCTGATAGGCCACAAACTATTGATTGGGGCGAGGGAGAAAGTATGAGTGAGCTTTTTTTTCGAGGGGGATGTTATCGTGGCAGATTAGAAACCACGTCGAGGGATAAGTTTTGAGTTCCCTTATGGACAGAGAGGACAGGCGAGCGCTCTGTGTGTGTGTGTGTGTGTGTGTGTGTGTGTCCAACGTGTCAGGACGTGCCTTGAAGCTGGCAAAGTCAAAATGTGTTGTACCAGCCGCAAAAGCAGCGACCAGACTCATTTCGGTGCGAGTGAGCGTTGGCCTAGGTTGGGAGCGAGGTGCACGTGAAGTCAGGTTGGGCAAACAAGAGCAGGCGTGCAGAACTGTGCAGCTGCTGACCAAGCGGCTCGGAGAAAGAACGCCGCGGCAAGAGCAGCCGAGGCGAGGCAGGCGCCTTCCCGGAGGGTAAAAGGCTGTCAGAAACAAAACATGATAGACACCATGATGAGCAAGCAGTTCATAGAGTCACCGGCACACTGTCGGGAGGGAGCACGATGCATACCGCAACGAGCCAGCGCCTGTAGCGACTGGCAGGCGGAGGCTCCGAGACTACAGGTTGCAAGCCCGTCGCAATTATGACGAGGTAGAGCGTGGGTGCATGGGTGCGGGTCAGTGTAAGTGCATCGCTGAGCATGGGAAGCAGAGCGCGGGCGTTGGCCACATGGGTCAGCGAAAGACGAAAACGGACCATAACAATTTGATGCAGCCACCAGCAAGTGGATCCAGGCCATTAAAACGGCAAGAGCAGACCACACCACATCAAAGGCACCTGAAGCAAGCAGGGGAGGTGAGCGCTGCATCCGACCCGCTGCCCACCAACACCTTTGCAAAAGCGCCCTTACCGGCAGTGAGCCAGGCAAGACAGCGAATGCTCAGCAAAGTTACAACGAACACAGCCAGAGCATAAGCCGTAGCAAGAACGGCGATATGCTGGCTATACCATGCTGGCGCCGTAGCCCCGGTACGCTTCCACCAAACCCGCCCAAAGCTGGGGCCCTGTCCTGCAACCGCCACCATCTCGTCCCGGTCGCGTGCACACACACACACACACACACACGAGAGAGAGAGAGCGAGCTCGCCAAAATCTTAATAAATGCGAACGCAGTGAAAATTCGCAAACGTGAATCAAGTCTGGTGGTATAAAGTAAAATACTTATTTTGAGCTTTGAACTATTTCTCGGGATTTCTCTCTTTGTGTGTGTGTGTGTGTGTGTCTTTCTCTCTCTCTGTCTTTTGCGCATTTCACGCCAGACCGCGCAGGTGTGTGTGTGCAAGACGCGTCGCTATTGGCTGGGCAGTTGCCCATCTTCACAGCAGTTACCACGGCAGGGGATTTTTGCTCAGACATACAGGTACATGCGCACGCACACACGTCAACACGTGCGGTTGAATCAGGTCTAGACGGGGCGAGCGGCTATGGCAGAGCAGAGCCATGGTGGATTGAATGACGCTTTGTCTTGGCTGGCTCTCACTGAGGGGCTTGTGCAACTTGATGCTCCCAGGTCATTTGCCGACAACATGGGCAACCTCATCAATGGCGTGGCGCCGACGAGGCCCCTGCCGACACCTTTCCCTGTCTCGCCCAACGACTTTGCTGCTGCCATGGCCGAGATGGATCAGGTCCGTCGCGAAGACCCGTGGCTGGTGCAGGCCCTTCGCTCTGACCACGCAGGGGAGCTGGCCGCCGTGTACATTTACCGCGGCGCTCGCGACGCGGCTCGCCTCCGGCCCTTACCCGAGGGCGTGCACCACTTTGTCAACCAACACCTGGAGACGGAGCGGGGCCATCTGCACTACTTTGAGACGTTGCTCGAGCGCCGCGAGCGGTCTTGGCTCTCGCCAGTCTGGCTCGTGGCAGGCTATGCGCTCGGCTTCTTGCCCACCCTGGCCGGCCCTCATGCCTTGTATACCACCATCCACGCTGTGGAGACCTATGTTGAGGAACACTACAACCATCACATCACCCCATTGCTCGCGCGAGGCCCCAAGAATGCTTATCCCAAGCTCACAGCAGCACTGCAGGAGTTCTGCTCGGACGAGGTCGAGCACGCCGTGGATGCCGGAGACCGCTACGGCTTTCGCCAACTCGAAGATGACTTGCAGGGCATTACCTTGGCTCGTGCTTGGTCCTTCATCGTGCGCCACGGTTCGGCTACTGCCGTCGCCATTGCGAAGCAAATATGAACTGGAATGAGATGTGCGCGTTGGGCTCTGCACCCTTCTCGGCCCAGCCTTCTTCCTCGTCCCCCGTAGCAGCCCTGGTCAGCGTAGATCGTTCAGTCAGGCCAATGTCTTTTTTAAGCCGTCTTCCCCTGGCCGTGCCAGGACCCCATCGTAAAACCTTTCTGGGCTCGTGCATGTCGACACCGACGCCCCGCCTGCCCTCCACCAACCATAATGTCATTGCACTTAATTCACGAGTAACATTCACATCTCAATGTGTCAATGGGCCCTCTCATTGCGGGTTGAGCCGAGTGCCTCGATTGCTTTTTATGATAACAGAAAGGGGCTGCGAAAAGGCAACACGTGCGTCACAAGCGACGACACCATGGTGGGCGCGGCCCAGGAGATGCCGGCAAGCCTTGTACTAGTGTGCCAAGCATCGTGTGGCCTCACGACGGTGGGAGTTGACTGACTGGTTCTGTCAGGGGTGCCCGGGTTAAAGCCGGGTCCAGCGCACCAAGACAATCACGGGCCGCCTCGGGCGTCAAACCCGACAGGAAGAGGGTGCAGGGATAAACGGCAGTGCCAAACAGGTTGTGATTGAGAATGGAGCAGCAGTTGGCCGCAATGACGTCTTGCTTCAAGAGCATTTGGGCTCCGAGAACGTCGGGGTAAAAGCTCACGCGGCGGTCCGTCTCCATGGGGAAGCCCGAGACGGGGTCAGTGTAGTCGGCCCAGCCGCCAGCCGCGCGCACCGCGGCCACAAACGCGCGGGCATCAGCAAAAAAGCCCTCAAGATGCCGCTCTTTCTCGGCCTCCACCTCTGCACCTACGCCCACCAGTGGCATGCATGTGCGTCGAAAGAGTGGCACAATGATCATGCCACGCACATCCACCTGGTCGCCAAAAATGTGCCGGAGCTCTCGCTCAATCTGCTTGGGCACCCTGGGAAGAACAAGCCAAATGGGCGTCTTGCACGGCCAGCACCCACCCTGCATCTGCATCTGCTTACAGGTCCAGGAACGATCAATCAACTTACGTGTGCATGGACACCTCCAGCTGACCCTCACGCACCAGCTGTGGCAGCATGATGCAGGTCTTGCCCACCCGTGGCCGTGGCGGCGCTGCCTGTTCTTCCGTCATGCTGCTCTTGTCACAGTGAAATAAATTCACCCCTCGAAAATAAGGAAGATCATTTGTCAGATTCAGCCATCGGCTATTTTGAGGAAGCTTTCTTTCCTTAATTTAGAAGATGTTGCCAACTCTGGTCCAAAGTGAAAGGTCAAGGGCTGGAGTCAAGGGCTGGGAGTCGTTTGACCGACATGTGTGTGGAGTGCCAGCGTTGAGCGCGGGGGGGAGTCATTTGCATCGTTGGACATGACGGGCGAAACAGTGTTGGAGCAGGGGATGACGGTTTGGCATTTACTTTCATGTTGACGGCTAAGCCCCGCTGAGCAGTGACATGGGTGGCTGGACATCTCGCGAGGCGACGCTGCGCCCGCTCTTGACGGTAGGATGGAGCTTCACCGTTGCTTACGGCGTGGTTGGTTCGCAACCCTGGTACAAAACATGTGTGCTGGGCTGATGAAGCACGAGTTTTGGTCAACAGGGACTGGATGCTGCTGGGAAAACCACGCTTTTGTATCGGCTGGATCTGGAGGGCATTACGCACGAAATTCCGACAATCGGTACGGGATCCCCCAAGAAAGTGACCGCCGGTTTCGTCCCAACCGGGCCCTGATAACAACTGTCCTTCATGCCTTGCTAGGCTTTACGCTACAACGGTTGCGTCTTCCAAAAAAACGGACGGAATTTGTCTCGTTTGATGTTGGCGGTCGAGGATACATCCGGCCTTTGGCTCGTCATTTCTTCCAGGCCATCAACAGCATCATCTTTGTCGGTGTGTAATGTGCCCCAACGTCCTCCAAAGCACGGGGCAAAAAATGGCCCAAATGCTCAACTTGGTGGCGATGATTTGCTCTGCATAGTGGACGGCAATGATTCAGAGCGACTGGATGCGGCCTGGCACGAGTTGCGGCGCCTGTTAGAAGAGGAGAGCCTGGCAGAAACGCCTTTACTCATCCTGGTCAACAAGCAGGATGTACCACAGGCTCTCCCACTCTCAAAGGTGGTAGCTAGCTTGCAGGTGCGTGTTCCGCGCGCTTGGTGGCCTGCAGATTTGGACCACATGCTCACGCCAACCTACCGGCTTTGATGGGTGCGGGTCTCTTGGATTGGCATAGGCGGACACTGCCTTGTTGGCACTGATGCAGACACGACGCTGGAACATTCAAGGGTGCTCTTTCATGACGATGGACAACGTCTGGCCATCCTTGGATTGGCTCCATGCTGCCGTTCACGACCGATCCCGGGGCAAGCCAGCTCAGGTCGAGTCTCCCGCCATCAAGCCGAGCGCCCCCAATCAGAACGGTCTCGGAGCCTCGTTGTGGCAGTGGTCCAAGAGTTTGGTTGGATCTTCGCTTTTATCGCCCGCTGTATAGTGTACACCTGCCAGTCGCAGTCCTGTTTTGCAGGGTTTATCTGCGCATGCCGTTGAAAGCTTCGCTTGGCCGAGCCAGTTGGGTGTTCAAATTGATGAGTTTGTGTCATCCATCACAAAGAGAACACCTATGAGTGTATGAGCGAGTGCATCCAAACTCAAATAAAGCAAGGCGCCGGCTTCCTCATCTTACATTTAATCCCAGGGCATGTAAGCATGTGCAAACCAGTTGGACGTGTTTCTGCTCGTGTCATTGACATGCTGACAAACTTCTGTCTCACGTCTCTGTCTCTGTCTGACAATCTGTCTCTGTCTCACGTCTCTGTCTCTGTCTGACAATCTGTCTCTGTCTCACGTCTCTGTCTCTGTCTGACAATCTGTCTCTGTGTCTCTGTCTCTGCCTCTCTCTCTCTCTCTTTTTTTTTTTTTCTGGCACAAGAGGCAAATTGCCTTTTGATTCACGGGTGGCCATGGCCACGGTCAGTATGCCCTGCGGAGGGCGGACGCTCAGGATTCAGCAACGTGATGGAGATGATTGTATTGGTACGTTTGGGCTTGGATCGCGAGGGCCATCTGATCCAGCCTGCTCCTCCGGGACATGCCTCGTTGTGTTCCCGCGCTCACATTTCAACATTGCCCTCGTTCATGGTGGGTGCTTTGGGGTGCGGTACTCTAGGCACAACAATCTGGGAGGCAAGCCAGGCCATGCTTTCTTTTGTGGGCCAGAATGCCAAGTATCATCGCCACTTTCGCGGGCGCCGGGTCCTGGAGTTGGGTTCGGGCTGCGGACTTCTCGGCATTGGCCTGGCCATGCTGGGAGCCCACGTGACGCTGACAGACATGGGGGATGAGGTGATCCAGGGCAATCTGCGTTCCAACGCCCGCCTCAACTGGCAGGATGATCTGCCGACCACCCACACCGTCAAGGTGGAACCGCTGGACTGGACACAGCCCGAGGCTGCGCTTGAGCGCCTGGAGATGCCTTATGATCTCGTGGTGGCCACCGACGTCGTCTACAAGGAGCAGGATGTGCCACCCTTGGTGCACACGTTGGAGACGGTGGTTCGACCAGGCGGCTTGGCCTGGGTTACCAACGAGGATCGCAATCACACGGCCACCCAGCAGTTTCTCGACCAACTGTCAGTCGGTTTTGTCGTCAAGCACATTTCCCTCAGCAAATTGGATGCTGAGTTTCAACACGAGACACTGTACATGCTGCAGCTCCGACGCCGTCGCGATGCAGGCGCTGCTGCAAGCGAAGATCCCAGCCTCTAGGCCAGTCGCTTGCAAACAGTGTGCCTTGAGTGATTTCACCGGAGACTCGCGTCGGACTGCGCAGATCCGATCCCTCCTTTCCCCGAACGGGCTAGGTCGTGAGGATTCTCAATTTCTCAGAGGGTCTGTTGTGTGATTCTATTGCCTGATACCGATACAGTCTCCCACCAACAGGTGAATTGGATGTTGCAGCAGCGTGAGAGTGGCTTCGAGAGTTGCCGAGTAATTGACCGTGGCAGCGGTGCCGTGCATCGCCACCACACCAAGTAACATCTGATTGAATCAACCCCGTCCGATTGATCATACCGCGCTCTGTGTCTGCCTTCATCCATCTCCCTGAGACCCACAGACAGACAGACAGACAGACACACAGACACAGACACAGACACAGACACAGACACAGACACACACACAGACACACAGATACACACACACAGACACACACACAGAACACACACACACACACACACACACACACACACACACACACACACACACACACACACACACACACACACACACACACACACACACAGACACACACACACACACACACACACACAGACACACACACACACACACACACACACAGACACACACACACAGACACACACACACACCACAGAGAATGACAATTCTCTCTTGCCACGTGTGTGTCTTGGAAGCCATTGTCAGACAAAAAGGGCGACACATGCACGCGTTCATTTTGAGAGACAGCAGGACAGGAGCGAGCGACGGACGGGTCTCGTGTAGGCGGTGGTGTCTTTGGAGCGTTGGTGTTGGTAGAGGACAGGCGGGGGCGGAGGAGTTGTGTGAGAGGGTGTGCTTGGTAAAGCGCCTCTCTTTTCTCTTGTTTCGCTGGGTATCCTGCCCAAAGTCAGCGAGTCTTTGCTGAGCAGGCGCCATGGCCGAGCTGCCGGAGAAGCGTCACAAAGTTGAACCAACCGTTGAGATGGCCGAGACTGCCGCCGCTGCTCCTTCAGACCAGCGGTGAGAACCTAGCCTTGCTTGCGCCAGGCCTTGCATCTACCGCCAGTGCCCAGGTACCCCCTGCTCATCGAGTGCGCCTCGGCTTTTTGGTGGTTTTATAGCCGAGTGCTGGCACAGCTCAAGACCGAGCAGGGAGAGGCTGCTGGGCCACCCCTCGAGTTGCCCATTGATGTGACCCCTCAGCAGCTGCAACTTTTGGCCAACAGTCTCCTTCGTCATGTATGATAGCGTATCCTTGCCCAACGCACTGCTCTGGTCGGGCCATCTGATCCTTTGCGTTGCTCTCGGCAGGAGGACGATGATGACAACAGCAAGACCCCGTATGCCTTCTTTGTCAACGAAGAAGAAATTGTCGAAACGCTGCAAGCCCTGCTGGAGCGGCAAGCCCACCATGCAGAGTCGATTGTGTCCATCGTCTGTCAGCCTCAGGTTCGCTTTTCACTCATGCCCGCGATCTTCTCTGCACAACTCTGCTTGGACTTTTTTTTTTTTCAGCCGATCAGCCAATTTGCTGTCCTCCCTTGCCTGACTTGACTTAGGCCATTTTCAAAGTGCGCGGCATCAGCCAATGCAGTGCCACCATCCCTGGCCACGCGGATAACATTGTTGATGCCTACTTCTCACCCAATGGCCAGTACGTCCATCGCCCACTCCCTCATTTTCTCACACATTTTTGGTCTCCTATTATTTTTTTCAGTACACCGTGTCCCTCTCCCCTTTCTCTCCTGTTTCTCATACTCATCTTTGTCACACTCACCTATTTTTTTTGGCGCAGGCAATTGGCTACTGGCAGCGGTGACAAGACCGTCCGCTTCTGGGATGTGAATACACAGACCCCAAAGTCAACGTGCAAAGGTACGCGCCAAGTTGCACTCCTGTCAATCATCTTGCGCTCTGTTTCCTAGAATTGCAGCGGCCTCGGAGCCCGATCCAAAGCCCATTCGCTTGATCATGCCTCTCACGGCTGCGACTGCTTCTGTCTGTTACAATTGCCACTCACGTGCACGTGGCGCCTTTGCTCTGCAGGGCATCGTCATTGGGTTCAATGCATTGCCTGGTCACCGGATGGCCTCTACGTGGCCTCGGGCGGGCGTGATAATGAGGTGGGCACTTGCCCGGCGTTTATGCCATGACACATCACAATGACTTGCCCGGCTTTTATGCCGTGGCACATATCACAATGGCAATGGCAGCACTGTCGGGCTCACATGCGATCGCCCCGGGGCCACTTGTTGCTTTGTGTGGTGTAACAGCTTCGGATATGGGATGGCAAGACCCACGAAATGCTGGGCAAACCGCTAGTCGGCCATCGTGCCTACATCACCTGGATTGCGTGGCAGCCACTGCACCTGTACGAACGCCCTATCCTCCTCGTTCCCTGCGCCATGTTGCCCAAAGGACATGGCTTATGGCCCTGTTTTGTGGCTCTTCTAACTCAACCTTTGTGCCTTGCCTTCAGGACCAAGGGCAAGTCGCAGTTGGTGGCGAGCTCGTCCAAGGATGCTCAGACGAAGATCTGGGACCTCTCCAAAGGTCGTTGTGTCATAACACTCAGCCAACACACCAAATGTGTCACCTGTGTCAAGTGGGGTGGTAGCGATCTCATCTACACGGCTTCGCAAGATACCACCATCAAGGTGTGGCGTGCCAGTGATGGCGTTCTCTGCCGTACGCTGCAGGGCCATGCCCACTGGGTCAACTCCCTCTCCCTGAGCACAGACTTTGCCATGCGCACGGGCCCCTATGACGAGCGCGGCCGCATCGGAAGCGATGGAGACGCAATTGCGGCGGCCAAGGATAAGTATGACGCCGTCGTCAAAGCTGTTGGCGAAAAGCTTGTCTCTGGCAGCGAGGTGCGTCCGATTCTGCAATGATGTTTCTTTAAAATCTGCTTGCTCGAATTTCCCGAGGGTGATGGGGTTGATGCTGTCCGAGGCGTTGGGTCTGATGCTGTTGATCGTGCGGTCTGTCTTTGTCCCGAATATGATATGACTGGGACTTGATAGGACAACACATTGTTCTTGTGGAATCCTGCGACTGACAAGAAACCGGTGACACGAATGACGGGGCACCAAAAAGGTGTCAACTTTGTATTGTACAGCCCAGATGGTCGCTTGATTGCGTCTGCCTCATTTGACAAATCAGCCAAACTCTGGGATGGCAAGACGGGCACGTACGTGTTTTTACCCAGGGGTCGAGGGCAGCTTCTGCTGCTTCCTGCTCAATGTACGATGGGTCTCCCTGTCTGACCCGTTCACTTTTTTTTTCTATTTTTTTTTTCCTATTTTTTTTTTGTTTTCTTTGAATTCTTCCTTAGGTTTTTGCGGACGTTTCGCGCACACGTTGGCCCAGTGTATCGGTTGACATGGGGCCCAGACTCACGTATGCTCATCACGGCCAGTGAAGACACGACGATCAAGCTGTGGCGCGTGAAAGACCACAAGCTGTTGAAGGATCTGCCCGGTCATGAAGGCTCCGTCTTTGCTGTTGATTGGGCGCCCAACGGGTGAGGCTGCACATGTTTCGGATTTTGTTTTAGCAGAGGCAGAGGCAGATGCACAGGCCGATGGTGATCAATCAGATTTGAATCATAGCATGTCCAGGGTGTGTCCAAGTCTTAAGAGTCAGGCTCACGGCGGTGTCGCTGTGCCCTCTGTACAGGACCTTGGTGGCAAGCGGTGGTGCCGACAAGAAGCTCAAGTTGTAGGTCCTTGTTGACCGCTGATTGGCGTTTATGTGCGCGGCTCGAATGCTCACGGCTTGTCGTATGGTCCGCGCGTCTTTTCTGCACAGGTGGCGTTCATAATCTTGGCCCGGGTCCATTGTTTCATTCAATCGTGACGTCAGCATAGAAGCCGCAAGCGCATGCGCTCTCCTTGCCGCATGGTGATTGTTGTTCCGGCGTGTCAGTTTCTAACTCATCAATTGCGATTGCACGGAGCTTCTTTGAGCACAACTGATAACTAATTCAAGAACGAGAACCGTCAGCTAATTCACGCTCCAGGAGCGAGATGTGCAAATAAATTTCAAAAACACACAAAAGGGCCGCTCTACTTGGTAAGTGCCCAGGAATCAGTGATTTGCATGGTCTTTGCATCAACGTAGTCCCACTCCAAAGCAGTCATGTTGGCGCGCAAACGAGCGTAGCCCGTGTATAGCCCATCACTGTGCGCCGCCCTGTGCACATTCCAGGGCCAGAGCCAACTCGTGAATAAAATGACAGTGGCAAATGTTGCAAGGTGAGGGGCACAAAGGTTTGCACCAACTGACCGCCAATCCACGTTGTCAGTCCAGCCGCCCTGGGTGCCTTCAATGTCTCCAGCTGCACCGTTCACGACGTACACGGTTGCATTGGGTCGGTGCAGGGTTTTGATGGGTTGCTTCTGGTAGACGGGCCAGCTGCGCTCGTAGCTGCAAGGGTATAGAGCAGAGAGGTGATGAGGCGGGCGCCACTCTGAATTTTTTTTCCCGATTGGTCACTTACCAGTGGTTGTGGCCAGAGGTAAAGAGGTCGACGCCGTATTGGTGGAAAACGTCCTCAAAGGCTTCAAGAAAGTTGTCCATCTCTGGGCCGCAGCGGCCGGGTTCAGTCGAGGAGGAGCAGTAAAAGGGGTCTGTGATCAAAGGCAAAGGTTGACATACGCGTGGGTGACTGAGTGAGTACTGCGGGCCGAACGAGAGTTTGATTGACGCTCGAGTGCGAGCGGGACGCACGGTGAGTAAAGGCGACGATCCACGGGACTTTGTCGCGGTTGGCTTGGGCACGCTTGAGGTCAGCGACAACAAACTCCCACTGCTCCGAGCCCCGGCTCACGTCGTGCTCAGTACTAAAGCTGACAAAGTGCACGCAACCGTAGTCAAACGAATAGTAGAAGCTACACGGCCAGCAGCACACGAGGTCCAGAGCAATGCATGAGAAAGATCAAGAGGGTGGTGCATGCCCACGCATTGACACGGTAGCCACAGTAGCATAAATGGGGCTTTGGCACATGGCCCAGCTATGATGGCTTTGGCCTACTGGTGGAACGAGGCTGACAAACCGTTCAAGGGGCCCCGAGGCGTTCAAAGGGGCGGGCATAAGCGTGCGATTGAGGTGGGCGGCAAAGTTGAATTGATCCTCATGATTGCCTGGGGCGAGCGCCATGGTGGCATAGCCAGCAGAGCCCTCCACTTCGCCCCTACAGCAAGCGGCCACGAGCGAAGGAAAGTAATTAAGCACAAGTTTCAATGCAAGAAAATCGCAGCAGGGGCGGGAGAGATGATACCAAAAGCGGTCCAGAACCCAGCTGTTGGGGATGTCGAGCACCTCCAGATTGTAGTCGTCGGCATCTGTGCGTGGCACAACGCAGCTGTGAGGCAGGAGACCAAAGACACCTGGGGAGTGGGGGGCATTTAATCGGAACTGAAACACTCTGGCTTCTGTCCCTGGGCTCAACGCACAAGAAGTGTCACCAGCGTTGATAATCAGGGTATAGCTGCCGTTTTGCACGTCATTGGCAGCAGCTAGCTGGGTGTGCAGGCTGGTGGCAGTTGGGTTCTATTCGGTTGGGATGACAACCAAGAGTCACCACAAGGCATGCCAGGTGCTGAGATTTGCAAAGCCAAAGGCGTATGCAGACATGCGGAGGTGCTGTACGGACCTGGATTCCCATGTCGGCCCAGTTGATGGCCCGGATCGGCGCGGATAGTTCCGGGGCTGTGGTAAAATGCAGCGTGCGGAACTGAACGTTGTTGGCCACGATGGCATAGTAATAACGGGTGGCCGGCTGCAGGTTGACCAGCTCGCATTGTTGAAGGGCCCCCTTGAAGCCACCCGCGGTGTAGGTCGACGTCAAGGCCGAAACGTTGGCATCAAGAGCCGAGGGGTCAGTGCCATAGATGCAGCTGGTCGGCGGCACGGCACGCAACGCCGTCTGCGGCAACGACCACATGACGCGAGCGCTGAACCGCGGATCAGCCGTAATCTGCAAATGGATCCCGACTGGATCTTCCAACCCGACGACCCAGCCCACCATCAACCCCAACAACAACAGGGCCACACCAACCAGCCCCATCCTCCGTTGCGCTGCCATCTTGACAGAGAGAGAGAGAGAGAGAGAGAGAGAGAGAGAGAGAGAGAGAGAGAGAGAGAGAGAGAGAGAGAGAGAGAGAGAGAGAGAGAGAGAGAGAGAAGCGCGCAAACACAGACAGGACTGCATCAAAAAAATGCTACCTCAAGCCTACCACACCTACCATCACCGTATCAAGGGGAATTGCTTTGAAGATTCCACACACCGTGTCCTCAGAAGCACTTGTATGACACACACGAATCCTGATTTTGGAGGAAATGTCAGATGTCAGATGTCAGATTATTTCAGGCTCGGTAAAGAATATGCTCACTGGGTTCGATGGCGGAGGAGATGGAGCGGGTGGTGGAGCTGTATACAGCGGCGGCGGCGGCGGTTGTGACGGCGAGTCCGTTGAGTGAGGGGGTGGGAGATGGGGATGCCCCCGTGCTGGGGGAGATGAGGGAGTTTGCGGAGGCTTTGGTGGTGCCTGGTTCAAGCGGGTTGGACTCGTTGGTGGTGGTGGATGTTGGGACAGGGAATGGGCAGCGACTGGCGGAGCTTCAGGCGCTTCGCCCAGCCGGCTTGCAACTCGTCGGGCTTGACCCCTGTCCTGCGCAACTGCAATTGGCACACGCCGCTTGCCCAGAGGCCACACTGGCCTGTGGAGACATGGAGGCTGTTGCTTCTCTTGGCGCCGCACGCTTGGCCGGCGTGCTCTGCCTGTTTGTGCTGCATCACCTGAATCAAACGGCCAGCGCCCACGGTTTGCTTCAGCTCGCTTCGTCGCTCAAGCCGGGGGGTCAGCTGCTTCTGGCCAGCTGGATCGGCGGCGATGATGTACAACAGCCTCTCCCAGAACCCTTTACCGATCTTCAACTCTACTATCATAGTTCAGCCACCCTTGAGGCTCTGGTGGCTGTGGCCGGCCTCACCATCGTCACCAATCGAACAGCAAGCCACGCCTCGGGGCAGCCCTTTCTGGTCCTCCGCGCAACCAAGCCAGGCTGACATGTGGTAACATATGACAACGAGACAAAGAGCTATTAGAGATTGATTCGGGCAGTAGCATTATGAAAACTGTGCCCAGTGTGCCGGCGTGGCCGCTCCACTTCCAGCAGCGCCTTGTCCAGCTTCAAAACTGTAGGGCGGTAAGCCACCCGTGTCCGGCCCAGCCGCGGCCTATGGCAACGACGCAACGGTCGATTAAGCATCTGCTACCCGACGCAGAAACTGCACCCACCACAAGTCTCCTCGTCCACCTACCGGTTGCTCGCTCAGCTGCATTTCACTAATTCGCAGCGCCTCCTTCAACTCGTCTTCCTCTCGCTGGCGAAGCTCCCGATCCCGCAGCGCCTCCTGGGAGCTCAGCTCCATGGCCAAGCGCAACATGGCCTCCTCGGACTGCGGATTCCCCTGGTCCCGTGCCCTGCCACCGCAATCAAGAGGCAAAAGTGAGTTGTTTGAATATCATAAGTGAGTTGTTTGAATACCATATGTTGCGCTTCGGTCGCGACGCTTGGGCGGCATTGGACACGTACATTTGTTGCTGTTGCAGCACGTGTTGTTGGCGCTGGGCTGCAATAACCGGGTCCCGGGAAGCCGTGCGAATACCGTTTGCACTCGCCGCTGCCGACGAACCGGCTATCCACGGATCAAAGCGCAGCAATCCAAGCGTTGAGTTTACATGTTGATAAAAATTCAAACCAAATTTTGAGTGTAGGCCATGTATCCTCAAATCACCACACCGTCTCTTCGTGCCTTTGCCCTCGTGCGCAGGCAGACAGACAGACAGGCAGGCAGACAGGCAGGCAGACAGGCAGGCAGGCAGACAGACAAGGCAACACAAGAGATTTTGATCGACTGTAGCACACGACGTACCGGTCGAGGAGGAGCGGCGCTGGGGGAGGGTGGGACGCTCCGTGGCCGTGGCAGCGCGAGGGCGAGCCGAATAGGCCAGGCTGCCTGGTGCAAGCCCAGTTCCATTCGAGGCACCACCCCAAGCCTGGCCTGGTGGGGGTGTTCGGGGATCAGAGAAGCGCGGATTGATGGCAACGCTGCCATCCTCCGAATCGCCATATTGATCGGAAGGAAAGGCGTCGCCAAAATTGTAAATGGACAATGGCGGGGGCAAGCTGTCCTCCCCAGGAGGCGGCGTCGCACACTCATCTCTCGGTGGGGAGGGGGGCTGCATATGTGGCGGAGGGGGCCGGCCTCGCGCATCCGATGAATGGCTCATGTGACGTCCCCCCGCCGAGCCTGGCATGGAAACAAAGGCACCATTCCGAGTCTCCAGGTCCTCCATCAGCTGCAAGACGCTCTTGGCACGCTCTCGGACTATAGTGTCGGCATGAGGGATGGGTGTAAGAATGCTGCTGTGGGCAGTGGGGTAGTGTCTCGTGTGGGTCTGCCCCAGACGCTTCGCCACTGCCTACTCAGAACACCCACATGCACATACCATTGAGGCCTTGATCCATGCCATTCTTATCTACAAACTGGAACTCTGGCGGAGGGGCGTGGAGCAGAGTGAGCATGAACAGCAGGCCCAGCAAGGTCCAATGCCCAGTCCTGCGTCTGCACAACTGCAGACGAGCAAGTAGGCAAGCCTCGAGTTGAGCTGCAGGTGGCCACCAACCGATTAGGCTCTGAATGGCAAAGACGTTGTGGCGGAGTTCATCGGCCACGGCAAAGTTGTCCTGCTTCAGGAGGTATTCCAGAAGAATCAAGCACTACACAAAACAACAAAGCGGAGAAATCACGCCGAGACATGAGGGAGTGCAGATGTGCGTGTTCCCTGGCGCTCGGGGGTTTGATTCGCCCGCAAGGCACGGGCAGTGGCAGCCGTGCCTGCGTGCGTAGCAACCATTCACCTTGTACGGGTGGCGCCAAAGCTTGCCACTGTCATCAAGCCGCTTCCAAATGATGGCCATCATCCCCGGAAGTCGCGTGAGATCCTTGGCCCAAGCCCCGCATTGGGCCAGCAGCGCCGGCGATGGAGCCATATCATCGTTGCTCGTGGCCTCTCGCACATCACACTCGGCCGGAGAGTACTTGCGCATACTATTCTTCATATTACGGCGCAGCGACATGGTGATAGGGTTTCCTCTGCCCGTGAGCAGTTCAACCTCGCCTGATCTACCGCCGCACACCAATGTTCTCAACACCCGCACTCAACCCGAGCTGCCCCGAGCTGCCGTTGCTACACGCCCAGATGGAGCCAGAGGGAGGTACAGCAAACGTGCAAACTGAACATGTACCAACAACGCACATGCAACTCCCCCTTGGGTTTTTCCTTTTGTTTCGGAGTGAGTGTGTGTGTGTGTGTGTCTCTCTCTCTGTTATTTCTCTCTTTACCGACCAAACCAATTCATTTCATGTCTCTCTCTCTCTCTCTTCACACACACACACACACACACACACACACACACACACACACACACACACACACACACACACACACACACACAGAGACCGGCAGCTTAGCTTGTGTGTCTTGCTTTCGGGATCGTCCCTTGCTCTTGCAGACACGTAACATACCACGCTCTATCGCCCAGCGCTGTAGCCACTGGCTACTGGGGTACGCCAGGCATTGGCCTTCCACCTTTTCCCAGGCCAGTCCCATATACATTTCACACTTTGTATCCCATAGACACGACAAGATGGGGCAAGATAGGGCATATGGTTTGGTCGCAAAGAACAAGAGGCCAGCACGTGTCTCATTCCCACCAAGAAAGACAAGGCCGCCATCAAAACGGCGAGGAGAAATGAGGCAAGAGAGGGTCCGAGTTCAATGGGCTTGCGACCCGCGCAAACCAAAAGAGTGCGGCTGCACTTTATTGACTGAGAGGACGACCAGTCACATCCAAAATTTCCCACTCCAAAAGGAGGCCCGTCGGGGACTCATCAACCGAGTACAAGCGGGTCCCCGCCCTACGCCGCGCAGTGCATCATGAATAACGAGCATGATGGGCCCACGAGTCACGGGCCTAGCCCGGCAGGGGTTGACAAAGCCACATACCTATTGAAGCCCAGACCGGTGATGCTCTTGTTGTGTTGTGCATAGATAAAGGCCTCGGCCTGGCAGTTGAGCAGCGCGCACGCCCATGAGGGGTAGGTAGGGTGCGGCACATCATGGGCATTAAATGAACGCTCACTGAGCTTACCGCCTCTGGCGCCGGGTAGCGATAGAGACGCAGCGTGCCCGTCCGATCTCCGCTGGCCAGCAGCGGCATGCCAGAATCGACTCGCCTACAAGAACATGCGTGAGTATTGCTAGAAAACCTCGACACGGTTGTGGGGATCGGCAAGTCAATGCGGGCTCGTACAGCGCCACCGGGCCCAAAACAGCCGCATCGTTGCCCACGGCCGCCCAGGCCCCTGCAGCTTGCCAGCCTAGATACGTCAAATCGGACCGCTTAGATTTGCGGGCAATTAATTGTAAGCGCACTCCATAGTGGACAGCGACGTACATATGCGCGCGGCCGGCGTGGACCATGCAAGGGCGCGGGCCGTTTCCACAGAAGGTTCCGCCATGTCGGAGATGCGGCGTGTCGTGACCGTGTGGGCCGAGGCGATGCGTAAAAATTGACTCGCGTCACAAATGTCGATACCCACGATGGGGTCGGCAAAAACCTGATGCGTCTTCTCATCCAGCGGTCGGTATGTCGGCCCGTGCACGCCCGGGACACTGGCCGCTCGCTGGTATATCCGCACCATGCCATCTTCCGCACCAACGGCAAGCAGCCTAAGAGTTGTCGTGCAGTCGTCAGCGGGTTGCCTGTCTCGCATCAGATCGTCTACTTTGGCGGACCGCATCCAGCGACAGCACCAGAAGCCACATCTCACTCACATGTCATCACAGCTAAACTGGATGGCCGTAATGCCAGTGCCCACAACATAAAGTTGCTCTGCCATACAAGCCAAATCAGAATTCACAATGCAGTCGGGCACCGCGGCAAAAGAACATGTTCCCACCGACTCACCTAGAGAAGCGCCATCAGCAGCCAGTAGATCAACCACACCAGTAGCATAGCCAATGGCCACCACACCTAAAACCCGTCCACGACGGTCCAACCAAAGACCATTATGCAAGGCACAAAAGTGTGTTGGTCTACCCTGCCCTGCCTTTTGTTGCCCAGACAAAGGAAACTCCAGCACTGCCAGTAAAGCACAGTACCATGCAAAGGCGAAACGGCCAGGGACCGAGGGAGGCCGTCACCAGCATTAATGTGCTGCCAAGCCTGGCGGTCAGTGGCGCGCAGCAGCGACAAAGGCGCGGGAATGAGGGGTCAAGCTTGAAATAGAAACCGTGTGCAATCAGTATCGAAGACTTGCCGGTCGGGCCAGGTGTGTATCCCAAGCCGTGATCACACCGTCCCTCGTCGCCGTGACAAAGTGCTCTTGCTGCGGGGCAGCAGCCACAACGGCACTGGAGTGGCCACGTGTAATGGTGTTGACCGTGCCCTCGCCTGCATCCACGCTCTGAACGACGTTGGTGCTCGTGCCAATCTGAGGCAAGTCGTGAACCAAGGAAAAAAAAAAAAGTGGCGTTGTTTTGAATGGCAGGCCACAGCACGCAGAGCGGTCGGGACTATGCCTTGGCGGCCAAGAGGAGTGTTGACGTACGAAAAAGTCGCTCAGATAAGGCAACCCGTCGACGGTGACACATGCCAAGGCGCTAAGCATCGAGTGAAGCGGTCAGGGGCGGCACTGGAGAAGCTGGAAGCTTGTCAAGTCTCCTTCGCCCAACGTTCTCGTGGGACTGGGAGGCTCAGAAAATCTAGGCGAGCTGGGGCAGACCACGCACCGGACACCGCCATGCACGGTCATCTCGTTGAATTCGTCATCGTTGACGGGGAAGAGGTCATAGGTCCAGGCCCACAGGCGCACGCGGCCATCCTTGACGCCACCAGAGACAAACCCCTGCTCGGTGGCGCACAGGGCCCCAACTCCCCCCTCGTGGGCATTCTCAATCAGGTGTGAGATCTATGATCCGGACCAAGGGCAGAGGTGTGAGCCAGTGTGATGGGGTTGGCAAAGCCGGTGGATGATACGTACATTATGATTGGGAACCGGCTTGGTCCAGACGAGAATGGCGCCGGACGTGTCGCCCGTTACCGTGAGGCCTTTGGGAGACGTCATGGCGCACAACACGGCAGCAGGCCGATCGCGCTTGCCAAAAATGGCTCGCTTTGGGGCCAAGGTGACCGTCTGGTCATTCTGGGCGCTGAGGGTCCAAAACATGAGGTGTCGCTTGCCAGCAGTGACAATGGTGTTGCTGGTAACGTTGACATGGAGCGAGAGAACATCGCCGCCCATCGCCTGAAAGATCATGGGTACATGGTTGCGCCAGTCCCACAGGCTCAGCAGTTGTTCTTGCTCTTGGTACACCAGGAGAATGTCGGGGTCCACCGGGGAAAATTGCAGGAGCGCAACTCCGCTGAGATTGTCGTGCTCGAGAGTGTGCAGCGTGGCCAGCGTATCGGGATCCCAAAAACGGATGGCGGGGCGGTTGCGCAGAGAGGTGATGGTGCCGACTGAGGCCATCACATCCCCATCGGGATGAAGAGCCAGTCTAATTGATATGGTGGTGAGGGTCTGACCGGCTACTGCGTGGGGTGCTGGGCAAAGGGCTAGGGGGGCGCACGGTGGACAAGCGTATGAGGGGGGCGGAAGCGCCATGACCTACGCTTGAACCTGAGACCGATGCTCCTTGTAGAGTCGCTGCTCGTGTGTGGTCGGATCGATCAAGACGACAAGAGTTCCGACTGGAAATGCAACCTATTGACCGGTGGGGGTGGGGTAGTGAGGGCGGGGCGGAGATCCGGGATGCTTGGGTCACCAGGCTCAGCAGAGGTCCTGCTCGTACCTCATTGGTTTTCGGGAGATAAACGACTGCGTGGCGTAGCTTGCCATTGTAGCCATAGGCTCGGGTGAGGCGCAACGAGTTGAGGGGTGTGCTCGTATCCACTGGAATGCATGCCAATTCGAGGATGAAGGCACACGTGTGTGAATGTGGCTGGCTGCTTTGTCAGCTCGCTTCTCTGTATCCCTTTTCAATTCCTGCCCCAAATGCATTTCATGGCGGAAACTACACCAACACCCTGCTGCACTGGATCCCAGATGGGAAGCTAGCTTTGGAAGGACGTACATGTATTGAGGTCTTCGACATCAAGGGGCGGATGAACAACGTTGGCATGATTGTTGATGACCAGGGTTGGCAGTTCATCCTGGCGACAAGGAGAAGGGCAGCGCGGGGTGCGGAATGGCGTGAGTTTGGCGGGGACGTGGCTTGCAATAGTTGTGAGTCCTTGCCCTGCAGCAAGGCAGGGGCGGAACCTGGAGCTCGGCGGCGAGATTTTTGCGGGAGTTGCGCGAGCGAATGCGCGCCAGTTTGCGGTTGGTGCTGGGCCGACGCTCGACGGCAGCCTCTGTACGACAAGATGTTGGCGATGAATGAAGAACCTTGAGCGTAGTTTTTGGGTGCTTGCACTGGGATGGAGCGAGGCACACGTACCATGATTGGGGGAGTTGTCGGCATCAAGGGCAGCGGTATTGCTGGCGGGTGTTTGCGGCCGACGCAGGGAACTGCGGTTGCTGGGCACTGGCGTAAAAGAAGGGAAGAATCAAGTGAGAGCATGAAGTGTAGCTGGGCAAGCCAAGGATTCCAAGCCCTCGCGCACCTTTGTTGGCGTTCTCCAGCTGCGAAATGCGGGTTTTGAGAAGCTTGATCTGCACAACACAGGAAGACAGGATCAAGACGTGCTTGGACTACGTTGCTGTTTGGACAGGGGACGAGGCTGATGGAGGCGGGGTGCGATGGTTTCGTGAGTTGATTCGTACCTGGTGATGGCAACCTTCAACCTCCTTGGCTTGGAGGGCGATGACTTCGGCGAGATCAAGAATTTGCTGCTGGAGGTCGGCGGTGGTTGGGGCCGCCGGCGGGGAAGCGGCCATCCTCCTCGGGCAACGAGGTTCAAGAAGAGCCGTTTCGATGCACCCGTCTTGGCGCGATCGGCAAAGTGGATGCGCGGTTTTAGCCCGAGGTGGGCGAGGTCAGACACGACGCTGCCTTTGCCCTTCGGAAGGGGGTGCCTAGCTCGGGTGCCTAGCTCGGGTGACTAGCTCGGGTGCCTAGCTCGGGTGACTAGCTCGGGCGCTCACCTACCCGTCGGGTGCTGGGGGTGGGGTTTGAATGTGAATGAAATGGGATGGAGGCCTGAAGCTGACGACGACCGACCAGGACAGCGCGCAGGCAAAGCCATATGCATACATGCATGCGAATGGCAAATTGTACTTCACTGTCTTCGATTACACGATATGCTCGTTTTGCGATTCTCAGCTCTGATCAGCTCGCGATTGCTGCTGACGACGATCACACCCTCTTCACCTTCATTGCCCTCTCCCTGAGGCCTGAGAGTGTTCAGGAACGTGGCGAGGATGACGTTGCGCGTCTGGACGCGCGAATGGGAGGGTTTGAGGGGAATATGGGTGCAATAGGGACGCCTTTTGCCGTGTGATGAGAGGGCATCTTGCAGTCACATCGTCGTGTGACCATATTGTGAGGGTGCGCTTGTCCTGGGACGGCCTGTCTGGGGGTCCATGGGGACGCGACTGGAGGGCTGAGGCGATGCAAGGGTGGCTGCCCTTGGGCATGATACCGGTGTTCTTGATCAAAGAAGCATGTGTTTGTGGGATTTGCGTGCGATGGCAGCTCGGGGAAAGCTGTGGGAGCGTCATCGATGTGATTTGGCGATGCAGCCAAAGTCCCGATCTGCTTCGTTTGCATGGCCGTGAACAAGCGTCATCAAGCCCGATGGACCCGCCAAGGTCGGCTGGTTGTGCTGGGAACCCCCGCCCCGCCATGATGTTTGGCGGCGAAATCGACCAAAATTGACCCAACTCTTGACGTTCCAGGCCGGTGCCAGACAGCATCACTGATCACTGCCAAATTCACATGACATGTTCTCCTGCACACGACGTCAAGGAGGGGCCGGCGCAGGGAGGACATGGCGCTGATGGCGCCTGATTGGCGCTGGCTGCAGAACGACGCGGGAAACGCTGACAGCAACATATGACATTATTCGTCCATGGAAGGATAGAAATTGTGTTCATCGATGACGTTGTTATGGCAAATGCGCACGCAGAAAATTTTCCCTTTTATTCTTCTTCTTCAACTTGCCTGTCAACACGAAATGAGATTTCGTCAAGGACGAAGCGAAACAGACAAACGGAATGAAGGGCAGGACGGAGCGGAACACCAGTATCTTTTTTACTTCAAAGGTTGCAAGGGTTTAGGGTATGGGGGGACAAAAAGCCTTACTTCACGCGTTTCCGACGTGCTCTTCCAGGCAACAGCAAGGTCACGTCTGAATCCATCGTTCGTAGAAGTCAACCCCACATTTTTGAGAGGGATGACCTGACGTGGGTCCGGGATGCTCGGGCGTTTGCACAGGTGTACTGGGGACAGATTTACCTTTTGCATCAGTGTAGGCGGCTCACTTGCTGCAAGTCAGTGTGAGAAGGACAGTGTAAGCAGTCGTGAAAATCTGCAATTGCTGATCGAATGGCGGTCGATCATCACGGAGGGCTCTCTTTGTGTGCCAGCAGTGACGCAGGCTGAGTCAGGTCAAATTGAGCGTCAGCGCGCAGACGACGAGATCATAAAGATGGTCGTGGTGGAGCCTGTTGCAGGAGCACCAAAACAGCAGAAGAAGAAAGAGAAAAAAAGGCAGAAGCAGCAGAAGCAGAAGAAGAAGCAGAAAACGACGCGAACGTTCGCATTACAAGACGAACCAAAGACATCATATGACGAGAAGAAGAAGAGAAAACAGCAGAAGAAGCAGATGAAGAAAAGATGGCTGACATTGCATTGCAGAAAGTCTGAGAAGGAGGGGGGCGGGGTTGAAGAAGTCAGTCGTGTAGCGGGGGCAGAGGCACAAGGGCAGCGCGATATGGGATGTCTCTGCAACGCCCAAGCCAAGACATTCATGGTTCATGCTCGGGGTGTTATTGCCCCGCTCGTGCCAGCGTTGCTTACCATACCCCCACGCACCCCGTTGGCGTGCCCAAGATTTCTGGCGTGTTGTGTGGCGCAAGGATGCAACCAAAAGATGAGGGAGGAATTATGGGGAATGAAGACGCTGGCCCTGACGGCGCCGGTCAGCGTCGTTCCTCCGGAGAGCCTTTGGGGTCAAATTCGGGAAACTTGAATGGAGCCGCATACAGCGCGTATGGCGGTTCAAGCCCACCGAGCCCTCCGAGAAACGTTGCCTATGTCCACCGACCCCCTGCTTCCCAAGCAAGCCCCAAAAGCTCGATTCGACCAACTTTTCTGCAACCTGTACCAAAAAAAGCTTTACTCCCAGCAGAGACGGGGCATGCATGTAGGCCGTGTCTCGGCCAACCCCACCCCAGACGCTCTGCCAACGTCAATGCCGAGAGTGATGCTGATCCGTCTCGCCTACGCATGCCAGTGCGGCTGGTGATCAAGCGTCATGGGCATCCGTCAGCGCCACGCGTATGTTGCCGCTTCTGCGATGGCGCTGAAGCACCGGCCCTGTTCCTGATGAGGGGTTCCAGCCCCTCTACGTCTTCTTCAGCCAATCAAACAAAGTTGAAACGAGGGCAACGACCGAGCCCACCACCAGCCCCCTCCTGACCATGCCCGTCCATCACATACAAGCGCCCCGACACATGATTGCAAAACCAGGTCACGGGGATGTTGAAATTGCCTCATGCCATCATGGACCTTTCCTTCCTTTCCTTTCCAAAAATTCATATTTCTTTCCTTTCCTTTCCTCTGGCTTTTTTTTCCGGACAATTTGAGAGGTGAACCCCGTTTCCCCACATTTTGCACGCACACAATTGCGCCATCGGATGATCCCCCCTCCCCAGGATTGCCTTTTTTGCCTTGCCTCCTTCCCCCCAAATGATCAAGGGGGGGTAGATCGCCCCGCATTTTCTTTTTTTAAGTAANCGGCCCCCCCCCCCCCCCCCATTCTTGCATGAAATCCCGCCATCATCCATCAGGTTGTCGTCCATCATCCATCCACGTCACCACGAGGTGCCTGCCATTTTTGTTTGTTTGTTTTTGCTAAGCGATCCTCTCGGTGCCGTTGCCCTTTATTTTTTGCAACCTTGCTGCACGCGCACACCCCTCTGAGCATTGTCTTCCACGGTCCACGAGCTACCGTGGGTTTGATCCACACCGCCAGTTTAAGCAAGACAAGTTCTTGAAAGACAACGCAGGCGCCCGTCACCACCGTTGCTGCTCCACCACCCCGCCCTTGCCTCAACTCAAGGTAAGCCGCTGCCCTCGTCCGCCCGCCCGCGTTTACAGAAACACACGCACACACGCACACAAGAGAGCGAAAGAGAGAGAGAACGAAGAAGAGAGAGAGAGATTGACATCAACAACATCTTTTCTTTCATTTCTTCTTGCTTGAAATCTTCCTTTTTTCTGACTTTTTCTGACCTTTTCTTGTTCTAAAATTTCTCTCTCTCTCTCTTTCTGCGCATTTTCGTTCGTTCGCTTGTTGCCTGCAAGACTCCTCCTACGCCTACACACCTTGAAGAGTGGCTGACACTTTTTTTTGTTGGTTGCTCTTGTCTCCTCACTTTTGAAAAAAAAATTACATTTGACGCCACTTGGACGCTTTGTGTAGGGCTTAGGATGGCTGCGGCGGCGTACGGCCTTGAGTGGTCGCAAGCCTTGTACGCCTCCACACCCCAAGCTGCAGCTGCCGCTGCGGCCGCCGCCCGAGCTGCAGCAGCAGCCATGGCAAACAATCAAACTTCGTTTGCAACTGGCGCCTATCAAAACCACCAAACCCCCCACATGGTTTTTGTCCCCTTTGCCTCGCCTCATCTCTACGGCCCTTACGGTATCACCCAGCCACAGCCACAACCACAACCACAGCCACAGCGCTTCGCCGCCGTTCGGCCCCATGCCGACGCTGCGGGCGAGCCCCCGGCACAGCGCCCTCGCCTCGAAAGCAGCACCCCCTCAAATATGCATCCGTCCCCACAGAGCGAGGCCGCTGCTCAACACCAGGCTCGACGTGACGCCGGTATTACCGCCATTCTCAACGCTGGCTCCCCCCGTCTCGGCGCACACGAACCTTCGTCCGCGGGCCCCATGCGGCCCATGTCCCCGGAAGACTTTGGTGCCCGACTGCACGATCGCCACGAACACACCCTGCGCCAGCTCGAAGACCTCCGCCGTCGCTATTGTCAGCACCAGCCTGCTGTCCCAGCCACCCAAGCTCCCCATGCATCCACCACACAATCTCAGCAACCCCCCTCTGATCACGCTCAGCTCGTGCAAGTCCTGATGACAGCCCAAGCCCAGCAACGACAGTTTCTTCGCTCTATTCGTGCTCGCCAACGTCGAGACGACCAATTCCGGCGTCTCGGCGTTGACCTTTCCTCCCCGGCCCAGCATCCCGAACCTTCATTCCAACATGTCTCTGCCACCGATCGACACTTGGTCGACCACTTTGGCCACGTTCTCCGGGCCCATCGCATGAGTAACGCCCCCCTCAAGCAGTCCCTCAGGCCCATCCTCTGGCCCACCCCATCAGAGGAAGAAGAACAATCAGTCGAGGACAAGGCCAAGAGCGTTGCCGCCACCAACCCCTGCCAAAGCAAACCCAAATCGCCTGCTGCCACCCAACCCCCATTGCCCACCAAGCCAACCACCGACCACTCGGACATCCCTGACTCCTTCCGCTGCGCCATCACCCTCGAGCCCATGGCTGATCCCGTGGTAGCTCTTGATGGTCACACTTATGAACGCACCGCCATCGAGCACTGGCTTAAGACTCAACGCAAGTCACCCATGTCCAACCTGCCCATGGGCACCACGCTGATTCCCAACCTGACCCTCCGCAGTATGATGCAAGACTGGCTGGAACAGCACCATCAAAAGTCTTCCTTCTAAAGGACTCGTGTTGCTGACAGCTCCCCAACGGCTCTTGTTTCCTCTCTCAGCCATGCCAAGCATGGAAGGCAGAGTTTATCCCGCTTTCACTCTTTGACCAATGTTTCTTTCTTGTCTCTGGTGCCAATTGTGTTCCTTTGGTTTTTTTCCTTTTGGTTGACCAAGTTTTGTCTCTTTCTGCGTGTTTATTTTCTGCTGTCCTTCAACACATTTTCCAGGACTTGTCCTGACGTGAGCCGTGCACCGTGTGACCTGCCACTTTTTTTCTTTTCTTTTCTTGAGTGGTTGCCACGTATTTCTTGTAATCCCCCAGTTGCGTCTGCGACCCAACTCGTGTGTTCTATAAACAGAGTTTTTAGAGGTCCTCGTTGACCATATCCGTCTTTTATTCACACCTTGCCCGTTTCCCTTTCGAATCATTGCATTTTTTTGCCGCTTTGGCCGGCATTGTTATAATTCATCTTTCCGACCAGTATCATGGTTAGCTTGTCAAACCCTTGTTCTGTTGAGCATGGTTTTCTGTGGCGTACGCGCAGTGCATCAGCCTGTTTCTTTGCTGATGAACAAACTCGTATATTACACGTGCTCAATTATCGTCGATGCCTGCATCAGTTGTCCCGTAGTTTGACCCTGTCGCACGAGCTGCTTGTCGCAGAGTCTACCCCTCAGCATGAATCAGCACGCGAATGGGATGATGGTGGTGAGACGGGATGGATCGTCGACAGCCAGCCTGCAGATGAGACAACCCCACCTCGCAGAGAGCCGCAGGGTTGGGCTTGGTGCTTTGAAAAATGCGCCAAGACAGGTTTGTTCGTTCACAATGGTCTCGCAATGCAGCGGCTAGTTGACGGGAGATGGGCCAATGAGACACCTTCATAGCGTGATAAAAGAAAGGTGGGGTTGCGCGCACGAGATGAAGATAGGAGAATAAAGAGGCTTACCAGTGGTGGGTCCCAGGGCAACAAGAGTCATGGGAAGCTTGGCGGCATCTGCCGGGGCTGCTGCCAGGAGTGCGAGGGCGCCAGCCGGACTGAAGACTACAAGCTGCACTGGCTGCGGATTGGGAAATGCAGTCCAAGCTGGTAGGTGTGCAGCCCAAAACGCTTGGGCCCGCTCAGCAGAAGGTGCAGCGTCGTAGACAGTGTACTCGGCAAAGGGTATGTCAGCGGCTTTCAGGGCTAACGGCAGCTCATCTCGGCGCTGCGCGCCACATGCGTAGCATAGATGACCCTGAAGTCAAAAGGCAGTGATATGAGCTATCGGCAGGTGATGGCTGGACTGGACGCGGCGGCAGCGGGGGCGTACTGGCGAGGATTGCTGGCGCCACCAGTCAATAACCGCGGGGGCCAGCTGGCGTGCGCTGCCGCTTTCCTCCCCAAAGACCTGGCGGTTGTCGTTGCGATGCAAACAAAAAGTGGAAGAGGAAAAAGAAGAGCTTAGAGCGCGGCAGGTGAAAGAATCATTCAAGCCAACAAAGTCACACGCACTTACCCGGGTCGTCGAACCGAAAGAGGCGCGAATGAGATCACCCGTGGCGGTGCCCACGGTTACCCATGTAATGTTCGCGAGTCGGACCAGGTGGGCCGCAGAACAAGCAGAGCGCTGGAGATTGAGTGACACCAGATGACAAAGAATTCAAATCGTGCATTGAGATCCCAAACCACTAGCCGGAGCTGTTCGGACAAACCCGCGCCAGTGCCTTCAGATCCGTGACTGGCTGCAGGTTGGATTTACCTCAACGGCTTCGACGAGGGCTTTGACGGCGGTGCCTGAGGTCACAATCAGGGCTGGCGGCCGTGCAACAAGAGCTCAATCAGTAAGAATTGGATCCAGTCATGCTGGCATTTGGTCCAGCCGAGTACAAGAGCTAGGGGCGTTTTATACCTGTGGCCTCGCGCAAGCTGGCCAGTACCTCCTCGTATCCCTGCGGAAGAAACTGCGTCTGGAGCAGTGGCCAAAACTCGACCTCTGTCGTTGGCACGGCAGCGAGCGCCTGAAAGAGCCAACAGCCACCATCAGCCACCATCAGCCGTACCAGTGGCGTTTTTCTACCACAAGGCCATCAAGAAACGTACCTCGGCGTAGCGCTGATCCGCCTCTTTGAACAACACAATACACGGTCTTGCCCCGCCCGCCTCCTCGGCAGCCATCTTCTCTTCGCGCCAGCGCCAAAATCGTTTGGAAATAAATTGCTGACATTTCAAACGACCTTTGATGCTACCAACTGTCAGTGGTACATGCATTGACAACCCTCTTGAAAGAAGCAGCGAGATCCTCGTTGACATCAACCTCGTTAAAGTCTGCATCAACCTTCAGTTTTCATAACGTATTTTACGTTGTAGATGCAACAACATCCATTTTTGCTGCACAAACGCACACTAAGGTGAGAGCACACAATCACATACACATCTCTCTCTCTCTCTCTGAGCATTTTGGGCCTCGTGCAGCACACGGAAGAGGGTGAAGAGCGTCCGTTGCTGGCTGAGCAGGTGGTACGTACGGCGGGTGCCTTGATCGGGTACTAGCAGCTGTACGGAAGCAAGGATTGCAAGTTGAGCCGTGTGGAGGATTCGCAGCCAAAGGGAGAACCCTGTTTTGCGCGTTTTTGCGCGACGAGATTTGAGCAGAGGCGAGGTGAGAGGATCGCGAGCGATCATCGGTGGGCGTCGGCTGTCTGGGCGGACATGACCAGCTGGATCTCGACGTACCAGGCCAATGTGCTTGTTTCTGTGCCCCCTCAACCCCGCTTATTGCGTCGCCTCACCTTTGGAAATGCCCATGCCTTTACACTTGATCCTCTCGCACCTCTCTTCCCCAAGAATATCCAGACCACTGGTACACACCGTCATCATGTTCAAAAAGCGACGCGCCCCCCAGCAGCCGCCGCCACCGAGCGTGCATGTGGAAAACCTTGAAGGCAATGCCATGGATCGCAGCAATTCCCTTGTCACCCCCACGCGCATCGGCAAATCCCGCTCGGTGCGTCTCACGCCCAATGATGCGCCACCCACGGGCTCCTCGTCCGTCTTCGGCCTCACCCCCCACTCGCTATGACTGATCGTTTAGATGCGCTTCCTACGCCACCGCCGCAAGCAACGCCAGACAGTTGAAGATTACTATTTCAACGAGACAGAAGCCCAACTTGAGGACGATCCCACCGCCATCACCGATCCCGACATCAATGCACTCAAATCCTTCAAGGTCTGTCCGTACCTAACCCGGAATGGTGCATGCACGTTCTTCTGTACCCCGGTTGCGTTGCCACCGCTTGCTGAGCATCTCATTCAAATCCGTGTGCCACCTAGTCCACCAACATCAATCCCGAAGCCGCCTGGTTTGGGAATGAAGCTCAACCTTTTAGCAGCGAAGTGTCTCAGGCTGAGACCGATACCCTTTCTGTCACCCCGCCCGTTTCTCGCCTCGTTGAGCGTACTGATACACAACGCACTGCAGCCTCTTTCAATCCCGCCGCGTCTACTCTTTCCCGACGCGTCAGCAACACCCGCTCCTTTTCTGCTGGCTCGGAAACCGCTTCACTGCACGCCCACACCTCCGTTCACGCCGGCCCAGCTGAGGAAGATCTTTGCGTGCACAACTTTCGCCACACCGATACACGCTTCTATTCACCCAGCCTCAAGTCCAATCGCTCCCAACGCAATGGGGCCACGAGTGCTGAATCCGCCGTTCAACTCGGCCTCCACATTATTATTCGTGGTGCCGAGGGGCTTATGGCAGCCGACAGCAACGGTACCAGTGACCCCTTTGTCATCATTCGTCTTGGCAAACACAAAGAACAGACAAAGGTCATCAAAAAAACCACCGAGCCCGACTGGAATCAGGACTTTTTCATCCCCCTCACCTCAGGTCTTGGTCTCTCCCGCTCGCCCAAGCTTTGCTACCTTATGCCACAGCGCCTTTTTAGCAGGCCTCTCACCCCGGCGGTGCCCCACAGAGTCCCCCACGGTACTGGAGCTCGAAGTCTACGACAAAGATACACTCTCTCAGGATTACCTGGGTTCCGTTCGCTACGACTTTTCTCAGCTCGTCGTGAACAAGGCCCAGCCCGTCACGTTCGTACATTGACCTCTCCCATCCCAATCCAGCCCAGCTACCGTGCCCTGCTATGCATTTCCTGCTGGTGTTTTTGTCAAGCCCTGTGCTGTCTTCTCAGCTTGAGCTCACGGTTGTTGCCCCTCCCTCCTCTTTGCCTTGTTTTCAGCGTGGCACTCAAGGATCACGGCAAGAGCAAGAAACCGCTCCCCAACAACAACCTGGGCTACATCGACTTTGAACTGACCAAGATGCCCATGAACAGTAACCTCCTGGTACGATGCTCTCTGCGTTCCTGACTCGCGTCGTGAGCTCAATCCGCCCACGCACCCTCAACCTTGGTCTTGGTACGCATGCGCTTTGCCGCGGTCGCAGGGCTCGTCACGGCTCGGCGAATCCAACAACGAAGCTGGCTCGCGCCTCGTGACCGTCGATGTCATCGAGGCCTGGGATCTGCAGCCATGGGACGACAACGGTCTTGCCGACCCCTACGTGCGCCTCAGTATTCGCAAGCAAAAACGCAAATCCAAGGTTCGAATGGTAACTTGATGGATGATTTTTGACATGCCATGGCGCTCAGCCTGACTTTTTGCACCGGCCACCCTCCTTCAGGTGTGCAACAAGACGTTGCACCCAGTCTGGAAGCAGCGGTTTGAGTTTGCAGTACACGATGCCACAAGCAATCTCCTCAAGATTGAGCTCTACGATCGTGATCCGGGCATGTCCGATGAACTCATGGGCCAGTAAGTGCTTTAAATAGCGAATCCGCTACTCTCGCTGCTTCCCAAAGCTCACGATCTTCCCTCTGCCATGCCAGCTGTGAGATTGACCTGACCAAGCTCTCCATGGATCACACGCACTCCCTCAAAAAGTCATTGGGCAAGGTACACCTTGCTGTTATGATCGCAAGGCGAGACTTTTGCTCGAGTGCTTGCCTTTTTTTTATTTTTGCCTGACCATCCAATCCTTTCTGTCCATAGCCCGAGGACGGCGAGATTTATCTGCAGGTCACTGTGACCGACTTTTTCGCTCGCAAGGCACTTACGGGCCTCAAGGATCTGGCACCTGCCGAAGCGGTACTCACAATCTTTTCTCCCTCCCTCCCTCTCTCCCTCCCCCTCTCCCCCTCTCTCCCTTTTTTCCTATCTTCCTCCTTTGGTGTTTGATGGACGAAAAATATTCTTCTAACCGTGTTTGTCCATTCCTTTCCATAGGCCCAATACGTGGGCATGCTCAAAGTGTACATTCACATGGCACGTGGCCTAGCTGCGCGCGACATGGGCGGTTCGTACTTGAGCTTTGCTCTCAAGGCTAGGCTTTTATGCATCCACTTGCAGGCAGCGTGAGCATGCTTTTGTATTTGCTCATCAGCTCATGTCATTCGACGGCGATTCGGGGATATTCGCAGGCACATCGGACCCATTTGTAGTGTGTGAACTTGGCAATAGCCGCCAACGTACTCGCACGATCCAAAAGAACGTCAACCCCGTTTGGAATGATACCCTACAATTGTACGACAATGCCATAGCGGCAGGCTGCCAAAACACGGCATGGACTTTCTTTAACGGTGCCAAGCTCACAACCGCATGTGCTTGGTGCTCAATAGTTATGTTCGTGATATCTTTGATGTCTTGCGCGTAACCATCTATGATGAGGACAAGGGTGACAAAAAGGAATTCATCGGTGCCCTCATCATTCCTCTCCTGGAGGTATGGTATATTTATGCCGGTTGCTTGCTGTTCGATTGTTGATCGCAATGTATCTGCCCGGCCCTCTGACGCCATGTAACCCCGGTTTTTTTTTGGTTTCTTTTTTTCTCAGATTCGAAATGGCGTTCGCGACTACTGGCCACTCAAGACTGCCTCGCTCACGGGTCGGGCCAAGGGCAAGATCCAACTGAGCATGGATCTGCAGTTTGATGCCCTCCGTGCCTACAGCCGCGTCATCAAGCCTGTGGAAGAGCGCAACATGGATGAAGAGCCCAAGTTCAAATTACCAGTACGTGCCGTGCCGGTCGGCGCTTTGCGTTGAAGTATCACCAGCCAAGCAATGCACCCTGTCCGCCCATTTTCACAACGGAATTGGATTGAACGTTGCGGCTTAGATTTTCAAAAACAACATCCGCCGCTTCACATCAGTCATCAAGATGGTGGTGGGCGGTGTTGGCGTGGTGGACAAGATGTTCAAGTGGGAGTACGGCATTGGTTTCACGCTATGCTCGATCGTGGTACGCGTCGAAGGAGGAGCGAATCGCTCTTTGAAGACAGTTGGCTGGGCATGGCGACTCCGCACCTGGCACCTCACCTGCATGCCGTGTTCTGATTTCACCTGCAGTTCTGGGTGTGGATGACGCTGTTCTTGCAAGTGTACCACGTACCATTGCTGGTTGCACTGCGGCTGGGCTACAACTGGTTTACAGATCCGGCGGCGCGCTCTCTCGTTTCGGTGCGTTTTTCTCTTTTGAAAAGATTAGATACAGCGTTCTGCGACTGTGCGTGCCCCGGTGTTGCCCAGAAGAGACATGTGCTCACGTTCACGTCCACATTTCTTGACTTTGGCCTTTCAGAGCAAGGATGAGCTCGAGTCGTATGACGAGTATGCCTCAGATGAGGACGACGAAAGCGACGAGGAGGATACCAAAGGCAGCAAAAAGAGCAAGCAGGGTATCCGTGAGCGCGTTCGTGCCATTCACTCCGTCGGTCAAAATGTGCAAAACAAGATTGGCGAGGTGGCCTCGCTCGGTGAAAAGTTTAAAAAGTACGTCGCTCATGGCGATGGAGCGGGGCGCGCCACTTTGGCCCATCTCAAATGAACCGCGGCTTACTTTGCCTGTTGCCCGTTTATAGCCTGTGCAACTGGAGCATCCCAGCCATGACGGCCATGATTGTCGGCGCCATGCTGGTGGCCTCGATCGTACTCTTCTTCTGCAGCATTCGCTACTTGCTCTTGATTGGCGGTATGTCGCCGACGCCCAGGCTGCAGAAGGGAATGGTGGCAAGCATTGCTATTGCGACACGTGGTCGGCCTGAGGGAGCACATGACTGCCCGGGCTTTCTTTGGCATCACGAGCCTCACGGACGTTGGCGGGTGGGGATCGTAGGTTTGAAGCGCTTCTTTGATTGCGGCGTGCGCAAGTATGTGACGGAGCGGCGGATGCGACGCAGCCGCAGTGGACAGAGTGGACCCACCAAGCCCAAGAGCAATCCAGCTCTGGCTATTTTGCGTATGTTGCATTGGTGCTCGCGTACAAGCCCGCAGGCTTGTCGTGTGGTATGCTTTGTACGGGTGTTTGTGCATGATCGCTCATCGCTGACTCGCATCCTCGTTGACAGGGCGTGTGCCGGATGACATTGAAAAAATGCAGCGCCGCAAGTTGAAGATGCCCAACACCAAAGAACGCGGTTTGTAACATGCCAGCGCCGCGGTTGCCTGACTTGTGGTTTGCCGGCTTGGCTCACCGCTCGAATGTGTGGGCAGGATCGAGGCCGTCCATGGCCAGGCGGCAAACCTTGGAAGCCTCGCAACGCGACGATATGGGGGATATTCAAGAAGATTTTGACTAGCGGGCGTGGACATGCAAAGGATGTCTGCCAACGCCAGCCTAGATTCTGGACTGCCTATCCATTGTGTGCTTGATATTTACTGTGATGTCCGACTTTCTTTCAGGGTTGTGTGCATCAAGGAGCGCAACTCATGACCGTCTCAGCAACATGTGAGAAGTCAAGATGAAGTTCAAGTAAATTATTGCGCGCACACACACACACACACACACACAGAAACGGACTTGATTGATGATGGGTTGGCATATAGCACTCGCACACACGCACACCGACGTACACTCAGTGGTATCAAAAACATGGCTGCACACAACAGAGAACAAAGGCTTACATGACCGAGGACCATCGCTCACGCGAGGACAACGAGGAAAGGGCGGTTGAAGGCAACGATGGGTTCGGGGAGAAGCCGAGGTGGACGAAACAGACAAGACAAGCGCAACCAATACCACGACAGTGGGTAGCCTAAAGGGAAAGGAAAAAAGGACATCTAAAACAAAAAAAAAAAAAAAAATTGCACAAGTGCACCATGTTAGTGCGCGTTGAGCGCATACATGGGGTTCTTGACACGCCAGCTGCGGACAGAGTCCCAGGTCTCGGAGATGAGGGGGAGGGTGTAAAGGTCAAAGCTGTGCTTGCAAGCGGCATTGGGATGGTCTTCATGGGCACAGTCAGAGGTGTGCATCTGAAGGCGACCCGACTTGTCAAGGACCTTGAGACCAATCCAGTCTTGAAGGTAGAGGAGGGACTGGCGGAGAGGAACGACCACGCCCTTCTCGCCGGGGCCGGTGAAAGGGAGGAAGGTCTCAAACCAGCCCGAGGTAGGGGGGCTGATGACCTCGTCGACGGTTGAGTGGAGAAGCATCATTGACTTGAGCGAGGTGATGTGTTTCTTGTATGTCTCGTTCTTCTCGGGACGCTCGTTGTTGAGGTCGGCCAGGAAGCTGCTGTTGCTGCGGTACAGGTCGAGGGCATAGGGATCGCGCCAGTACTGGGCGAGGGCAAGACCGCTCTGCATCAAAGGGGAGTATGGAGCGCGACCAAAGATGACGCTCACGACTGGGGGCACGAGGGCTTCGACGCCACCAAATTGGCCGCCTTGTGGCGAGGCCCAAGAGATGAAGTTGATCACGGGGTACTTGTTGCAGCGCTGGAGATAGCCGCGAGACACGAGGCCGCCTTGGCTGAAGCCAATGAGGTTGAAGCCATCCTTGAGCTTTTCATCGGCGTAAATGTTTTCACAAAAGAGTTCAACCTGACAGGGAGTAAAAGGCCGAGGGGTCAAAAAGCGTGCCAAAGTTTGGTTGAGATCGGGGGGGGGGGGGCAATGAAAAGGGGCAACCAAGACAACAATCAACAACAATTAACACCATCGTCTTGGACAAGAGAACATTCATACAAGCACGACAACGGCGAGGTTTTGGCTCCAAATTGAGGCATCGAACCTGCTTGTTCATGTCCATAAAGACAGAGTCGAGGGCACCGTTGCCAACCTCCATTGACTTGACATAGATGCCGGGAAGCTGCTCGCGAATCCACTCAGCCACCGTTTCAACTAAGGCATTGCGAACAGAAGGTCGATCGCACGGTGAGAACGAGCATATTCAAGGCAGCGAGATTGGAGTCGATCAGAACATTGACTCGCGAAGAAAGAAAGAAGCATGATGGGCGCGCCGGGGACATCGCCAAGCGTGATGTCGCAAGGCCTCCACACACAAGGAAGCAACCAAACCGAAAAACAATAAAAAAAAAAAAGGATGGGGGGAAGGCGCCATCGGGGAGAAGAATCCTTCCCACAAGCAGCCCACTGTTCAGCAATGGCGCCAACGCTAGTGCCCCCGCTGCCTCCGCCGCCGCCATATGCCCCCACATGTGAAAGCCAAACAAACGTTTGGGGCGTTTGATCGCTCACACACACACACACACACACACACACAGATGACTTACGATTCTCAGCCGTTCCAAGAATACCATGCATGATAACCACGGGCGGGTAGGCCGAGTCCTCAGCACGCACGCTGGGCGCTAGAAATCCGCAGCAGCAGGCCGCCGCCGCCAGTATCATGGTCACTGAACACGCCCGCATCTTGCCCCGCTGCCCTTTTTTCTTCTTTCCAAGGTTAAACGAAAGAAATCACACACAAAAAAGAGAGAGAGAGAGAAATCACACACACACACAAGAGAGAGAGAGAGAAAAATAAAACACAACACACACACACACACACACACACACACACACACATGCTTGCTCCTCCAAACTCATTCTCTCTCTGTGTCTGTGTGTGTGTGGAGCTGGTTGTCGTGAATTTTGTCTGACAATGAGATTGCGGTTGTGGAAGGGCGGTTGATTTGGCACGTGAAACAGTAACATGACTGCAGTCACACAGTCACACTTGCAGTTACACACACTGCTAAAAATTTTCTTATATTGTGCCGAATGTGTAACCATGGTCACAGTATTACCTTTAGCCTTACCGCGCAACGAAGGGGGGTTACTGAATTTCGCGAATGGCTTGAGACGGTCTTTTTGCATGAAACGTAATACATAAGTTTGCTTGTAAGCGAAATGAAAAGTGTAACAGAAGTTAGACTATCGTAGAGGGGTTGTTTTCTCGGATTTTCTCGGCTCCGTCGTCGTCGCCGTCGTCGTCGTCGTTGCCGTCTGGGTGATCATCAGCACCCCGTTGGCCCGGCGCAAATGCAAACAGGAGGCGCGAGTGGCTTGGCTTGGCTTGGCACGGTGTCTCGTCGGATCGTGGACAACAAGCGGCTACCCTCGGGTTTTTTTTCCGCGATTGCAGATGCGCCGTCTGCCTGCCGTTTGGTTGAGCTACCCAACTGTGCCGGCAAGGGGGCCGTGGGGAAGGGGGCGTGTGAGAGCACAAATACGATCAGCATTCCCCCGCCTCATCACCCCCAGAAGCTGGCCTTTTGGTACTGGCCTGCTCGCAATCAAGTTGGACGTGGCTTGACCTTGTTAGTTGCACCTGCAACCTCACAGCAGGCATGCAACCAGCCAGTGAAGATGAGCGACGGAGCCGGCTCGTCACCGAGTGGTTTGCGTTTTGGCCCAAACCCACCCGAACGCGCTTTTTGCGAGGCCTCATTGACCGCACCTCTCGCGTCTCACCCGAAGAAGGTCGCCTCTTTGACGAAATGGACCTGGCTTCTCTTGCAGAACTACCTGCCTCCCATCGCGATGAACTCCGTCAAGCTTACGCCTGGTTTCGCGAGTTTGACGATGGTGCCCGCAACATGCTCATTGACATGCTCGAATCCATCGACCAGAGCCTCGTCTATGAGTTTTACGAAACGTATGCCGCCTCTCGCTGGTCCTGAGTCGGTGCCAAGCACTCGAGGCTCCAATCCTTGGCCGTACCGGGCACATGTCACCTCGACTCGAGGCATCCCACCTTGAGCACATCTTTCGCCCACAACCTGCTCAACGGCAGGACGTATGGGACATGAGAGGTTGGCCTGCATGTCTTGCTTTGTCTTGATCGCTTCGTTTTTGCTTGTCTTTTCAATTTTATTTCGTGCTCGTTCGAGGGACATGGTGAAGGTCATGTGCTCAAGAGTTGAGCCCCTTTCCCCCTTTCACCTCGCTCAGGCTGGTGCCATGTCAACCTGTACCCACGCTGCCGCTGGCCGGCAACTGGCACAGAGCCCTGTCCTGGTCGGTTCCGTGTCCGTGATGTAGTTTATGTGGGTACGCCTCCTCTGCATGTGTGTCTGTGACTGTGCATGTGTGTGCGTCTCAGCCCCTTGATCCGCACGTATCACCGATCAATTAAAATGAGTTTGCTACCCCATCGTATCGACTGGCACAGACGTCAATTGTTAACTCTCTCGTACACCTGCCATCACACAACACCTGCCACACACTGAAAGTGACGACGCTGACAGCCAACACGAGGCATGCCGCCCTGCTCAACCGCGCTGCAACCGGCATGGGCGCCACACTCTTGCGCAGCATGATACCCCACTGTGGGCTCAGATGCTGGACGCAAGCTCGCATCCATCACGTTGGACTGAACATGCTTTTCATGCCGATCCTTGCAAAACATATCGGACGCAGCCGCCCGTGCGAATCTCCTTGAGCCGACCGGCCGTGCGCAAACAGGGTAGATCTCGCTTGGTATGACCCGTGCCGGTGCTGGCCATGCGGCGCAAATCCTCTTCTGTAAAGTAAAAGACGCCAGGCGCATCCGTGTCGTGACACTCCGACTCCTTAAAGCGATGCCAGTGCGCCAGGGTCTGAAAATATCCAGAACCGCACAAAATGACAATAAAGGGGATGAGATTGCCATCAAAGTTCCAATCAGGCATACTGGGGGCGGGCGGGCGGGTGCGGGCTGACCCATCAGTAACCAAGCACACGCACCTCATCGTTCATTTGGGAGCGCTGCAACTGCAAGATCTCATATTTGCGTGTGACCACGTCCGTGATGGTGTCGATCAACGCATTCAGCTCCTCACGTGTCGCCCTGTCACACAACCGAGAGTGCATGCCAGAACCGTACTGAGCAAGCACAGGAATGGGAACCACCGCTGTCTACATGTGCTGCAACACAAAAAAAAAAAAAAAAAAAAAAAAACAGATCCGAATTCCCATGACACAAAGAGATGTGTATGCCTTACCGGTTGCGCATGTATTTGGGGATGGCATTAAACTCGTCCACGCGCAAGTAGGCCAACGTTGGCAGCGCGACGGTCCGCTTGGTGCCCTTGCCACGCGTGCCTTTTTTGGATCCATTCCCCTGATAGCGGGCATTGCCGGTCGCGTTCAACTGGGTGGTGCTTTGACCCATGGGCTGCAGCGGGGCGGCACCATGGCTCTGCTGGGCGGAGGCTTGCGTTGTGGGCAACTGCGCAGGCAGGTTCTCCTTGGCAAAGCTGAGGCGTTCCTGCATGGCCTCGGCGCGATCAACAAGTACCTGCAATGGCTCAAGGCTGCGCTCTTCAGCATCAAGAAAGTTCTCCCAGTCAGCGCATTGGGCCTCCACGGCGGCCAGCGAGCCTTCAAGGGCGGCCAGGAGCTCGACAATGCCATCGTTCTGGATGAGCTCGTCGCCCATTCGAAAGAGCTGAGCCCGATTGAGGCTGTTGATCTGCTTGCTAAAATGCATGACAACATCGTCCATGGTCGGGATATTGGTGGTGGCCGCCATTTTGCCCGATGCCGTGCCTGCAAATAATGGCCGTGGAGCGTCTCGCCAAGAATCAGATGGTGCCGAAAAGCTGACGATTTAAAAATACGCGGTCCCTGATTTACCAATTGTCTGAAGCCTAAAAGTATCTCAATGTTGATAGCAAAATTTCTTCAGCATAAAAATTGTCATACAAAACGTCAGCAAAATGCATCCAACGGATAAAAACCGCTTTTGACCGTTATCACACGCGCGGTTGTAAACTGGCGCGAATGAATTGTCGACGAATTCGAGAAAAACAGAAAAAAAAAGCATTCGTCTCTCTTTTGTTCTCTCTCTTTTCACTCACACACACACACACACACACACAGACTCTCTCTCTCTCTCTCTCTCTCTCTCTGACTCGCTCTCGCTCGCTGACTTTTCCCATTTTTTGTTGCTCGCCGTTGTGCCGGGCACACGTCAAGCATTTGCAGCTACGCGACTTTGTCGTCAGCTTTTGCTTGCCACGACTGGGCCTGCGGGTGTCGTGGCGGTGGCAATTGCCTTTGGGGTTTCGACGTTGACCCGTGACCATCCATGTCCTCTGTCGTCACGCCATAGTGGCGCCGCACAATGCGCACGACCCTGGCGAAGCCGCATTGCTAGAGCACCATTGCCCATCTCTGACGGTCTGCATCCTCAATTCACATGCCCGGCATGTCGGCGGCACTCATGGATGAGGAGGAAGACCTTCTGCCTCTGGCAACGGGCCGCACAGGCATGACCCTGGCTGTGGGTGGGCTCAAACTTTCATCCGGTCGCAAGCGGCACAGCGCCACGGCGGCACCCAGCCAGCTTGCCTCCCACCTCTTGACCCCGCCTTCGCAGCAAAGTCCAGGTGTGCGCTGCAGCTCGAGTCCCCGACCCAACGGGCCACCCAAGCAGCGTGCCAGCGCCCTCCTTGCCGCCCTGTCTGGCTCGGATGGGGACAGTGACAGCGATGAGGACTTTGAAGCCCCCAGCTCGGTGACTCCGCTTCTCGTCGCCAATCATCGAAACGCCTCCACCACCACACCTGTCGCTCCTCGGCTGCCCCACCCAGAACACAGCTTGGAACACAACCCCCAACGCCCGGCCTCCTTGAATCAGCGCGCAGATTCACCCCAAGACCTTTTTCCGGCCCTGCGCCCGCTGCGAGCCCGTTCGGCTAATAGCCCTGCACCCCATGCCTCTCCTCGTACGATCGAATCCAACACCCTGGCCGATGATCAGCTTGCAGCAGCCCTCGAGGCCTTTGAGGGAAATTCCCGAGCTATCCCTGACCCGGCTGAGCCAACAGATGAAGGGCTCCCCCAGAAACCAACCCACCCCACCACCTCTACAACTTCCTCTGCCTCCTCCATCAGCTCCGTCAAGACACCCCCTCAGACCACGCCGCCCGCCGAGCCCATCGTGCCTGCCACTGATGCCGACAGAGATGTCGCTGGTCACACCTTTCTGGACCGATTGATCTCTTTGCTTTTGGATCACATTGACCCGGCTCAAGACACGGCCCTCACGTACGTTTTGAGCAGTCCGCCGGTCCGCCTGGTTGGCTCGTTTGCTTGTTTGCTTTTCTTTTGATGAGTGGTGCACATGTGTGTGTACGTGGTCCCGATGTTCTACAAACTCCTGGCTTGTGCACATGTCTGGCTGACTCGTACGCATTCGCTTCCTCGCACAACGGTTCTCACTTGGCAGGCGGCGGCTCAACGAGCTGCGCTCTGGGCACGGCCTTGACCTGGCTCAGCATGAATTTTCGACGCTGCAACACGCTGATCGTGTCCTCTATCAACGCCGACACGCCCGCCCAGGCCCCATCAACGACAAGCGTAGCACAATTTCCCCACTCGCCCTCGATCACCCTAGTCCTGCCCGGCAACCCTGGTCTTCACACTCCAACCTAGCAGCAGTCGGGCCCGCCCTCGACGATTCTGCCGCCCCGCCAGCCAAGCGAGCTGCACGCACCACCATCTTAGATACGGCCGGGCTTCTCAGCGACCTGGATGACGACGACCTGGACGATGCCCCCAGCCAAGTGGTGACACATGGCGATGCGCGCCGGCCACCGCCTGCCAACCTTTTGAAGACTGACAGCCTTTCTAGCCTTGACGGGTCGCTCACTCATAACGCTCATCACCCGGACCCAGCGTGGAACGACATACACCCCGAGCAAAACGAATCCGATGGGGAGAGTGGGAGCGTGGTTTTTGTGGATAGCCCATCACCTCAAAAGCCAGTGCGGCGCCCTAGTTGGACTGAGTGGGATGATGCCATGGATGACGTAGACGACACGAATCGCAACCACCAGGCCGTGCCGGAAGATTTGGATGAAATTATGAATGATGATGAGGACGGCTACAACGATGGCGGCTTGCTTGTGGATGATGACGATATTGAACAGTCCGGGGCCATGGACGTGGAGGCTGACCGCACCTCTGATGTACGCGCGCGGATGGACCATGGTCATGGCACCGGAAGGGGCTTCAGCAGCACCGTGCTACCTACGAATAACAAAGACTTGGTACCCGGGCCTCCTGCCAACCCCCATGCCGGTTTGTCATGGCACCCGCCTTTCTCACTCTGCGACCCCTTACTTTCCGGCGGCCGAATAAGCTGTTATATCTTGGCATAGCCAGCGCCTGCTCACGATGCAGGTTCTCTCTCGCTGTTTTTTTTTTTTTTTTTTGCAGGCAAGCGCTTTGCCAGCTTTTTGCCCGAAGGGGTTTCCACTCATCCAGATCTATGCAGTTTTGAATTTGAGCACAGCATCGAGCTTCTCAAGGCCTTCAAGCAGGTGTGTGGATCCAGCCCCGATGCCTTGCGCGCTAGCAAGGTTTTGTCAACGGCTTTTATTCTCACCACTCACCTTGTGCGGTTTTGGTGACTCGAATATCTGGGTCTGGTAGCGCTTTGGCCTCCATCGATTTCGTCCGCATCAGCTCGAGGCCGTTAATGCCGCCCTCCTAGGTATTTTTCCTTTCTTTCTTTTTTCTTTTTTTTTTTTTTTTTTTTTTGCTCCTCGTAAAAGAAGAGCTTGTGATGCTTCCTCAATGCCTTGTCGGCTGGTTCACCAAATCTTTCCTCCTCTGCTCTAGGCCAGGATTGCTTTGTGCTGATGCCCACGGGCGGTGGCAAGTCTCTTTGTTATCAGCTTCCTGCCGTCACATCACGCGGGGTTACGGTCGTCATCTCGCCCCTCATCTCCCTCATTCAAGATCAGGTTAGAAACTTGCTCTTGCTCTCGCGTTGATCAGGCTGCCTCCAATTTCCTGTTCAATAACGAGCAGCACACCAATTTTCCCTCTAAGTTCCTTTCTGCATGCCATTGACCTTACTGCACCATGTGAACGGTACGCCGGGCAAACAGGTGGCTGGTCTACAAGCCCTGGGCATCCGAGTGCTGTTTTTGTCATCGACGCAGTCACGCGCTGAACAAAACGTAGGTCCAGCCAATGCAACTAGCTAGGCGTGTCCATGTACGCAAGCAAGCAATTTTCTTAAACGTGCCCTCTCGCTGTCTTCTCTCTTGCAGGAGGTGCATCGACAACTTTGCGCTGATGCAGTCCAGGACGACTTGTTATACATTACACCGGAACGTCTCAAGAGCTCAATGATGCGGCAAACATTCGAGTCGTTACACGCGCGGGGCTTGTTGGCGCGTTTTGTCATCGATGAAGCCCACTGCGTGAGCCAGTGGGGCCACGATTTTCGTCCCGATTACAAAGAGTACGATGATCGATCCTTCCCCGGCGCACACTCACGCACTTGCAAGCCAAGCGTCCCACCCACTACTGCTACCCTGCCCGTTCCTAGCCCCCGTTGACCTGACTCATTCATGGACCCCTGTTCATGTTGTGTAGGCTGCAGATTGTTCGACAGTGGTTTCCCCGTGTGCCCCTCATGGCACTGACGGCCACCGCCACTCCGCGCGTCAAGGAGGACGTGTTGAACATCTTGGGCATGCAGCGGGCCGTCACGTTTCAGAGCTCGTTCAACCGCACGAATCTCTTCTACGAAGTTCGCCCCAAGAAAAAGAGTGTACGGCCCTTCTCTGTCCAAACTTTTGCACGGACTCAAACAGCGCTTGCCCAAGCCCACTCATTGGTCATTTGCTTCTCTGGTCCGCGTGTGGAATGGCGCCCCACAGCTTTTCGCAGACATAGCTGCCATCGTTGCCAAGAATCGCGGCTCTTCTGGCATTGTGTACTGCATGTCACGTCGAGATGCCGAGACCACTGCCTTGGATCTACAGGTTGGTGGCAATGACGCAAACACGATCCCACATCTTTGCGCTGAGGCACGGTCCAAATTCTGACGCTTGACCGGTCCTCGCCCAAATGTTTCTTGCTTTTGGTGCCTGGAACCTTTGCAGCGCCGGGGTATCAAAGCCTTGGCTTACCACGCAGGCCTGGATCCCGGCCTCCGTAGTGAGGTGCAAGATGTATGGGCCCGCAGTCGTGCCGACATCATTTGCGCCACGGTATGTGTTCAACTCTGGCCGGGTGGCTTGCAGTGTGTTCTTGGCCTTTGCGCGCTGGTGGTCATGAAGCCCACTTCTCATACCTTGTGCACTGCCTCTGTTTCGCATTCGGCTCGTAGATTGCCTTTGGAATGGGCATCGACAAGCCTGACGTGCGATATGTCATCCACGCCACGCTGCCCAAGTCGATGGAAGGCTACTATCAGGAGGCGGGTCGTGCTGGCCGTGACGGTCAACCGGCCCAGTGTATTCTTTTCTATACGTTTGCTGACAAGGCGCGCCACGAGTTTATGATCAACAAAAGCGACGGCGATTGGCGTCAGCGCGAGCAGCACCGGTCAGTCCGCTCGTGGCCATCAACTGCACCACCATCTTTTTCGGTTTCTAGTTTTTCTGCGTCTCCTTTGAATTTTGTTTTTGTTTGTAGTTTTTTTCTCTCCCTCTCTCTCTCTCTCTCTCTTTCTCTCTTGCTATTTTTCTTTCTCTCTTGCTTCGTGGTGGAGGTGCAGATTGAGGTTGCGCTCACGCTTCACTTTGCACTAGGAATAATCTCAAGTCTGTCGTGTCTTATTGTGAGAATTTTCAAGACTGTCGCCGCAAACAACAATTGGCCTACTTTGACGAACAATTTGACGCTCGCGATTGCAACGACAATTGTGATGTCTGTAAGAAGGGCTTGGTCTTTGAAGAGAAGGATGTGACCACGCACGCCAAGAGCCTGGCCAAGCTCGTGGAGCATGGCAACCCAGATGGCCGAACACCCATCACATTGATCATGGTGATGGACGCTTTTCGTGGCTCTCGCAGCAAGCGCATCGTTGAGACGGGCTTGGTGAACCATGAGCTCCATGGACAGGGTGCCGGCTTGAGCCGCACCGACGTTGAGCGTCTCGGTCAGTTGAGCTTGTATTGGCCGGCTTTTTATCACGATTGCCAACTCTCGCCAACTCACGCTGTGCTGGTGTATCCGGGTGGGTTGTTCTGGTGGTGGCGGGGCCGTAGCACGCAAGCTCGTGCTGGAGGGTTATCTGGAAGAGTTCCACGTAGATACGGCTTATGGCACCAACACGTACGTGCGGCTGAGTCGAAGCAAGGCCGGAAGCTTGCTTGGTGGACGCGTCAGAATTATGCTGTCCATGGAGGGCCGCAAGGCGAAGAAGACGGCAGAAGCCCACCAGGACAAATCGGAGATTGCCGTGGCCGCTGAACTGGCCAGCCAGCCGCAGAATCTACCTTTGCTCACCGCATTGAAGGAGCTGGTGCTTGAGCTGGCCGGTGACTCGACCAAGACGCGGTCCGTGTTCACAACCCACCAGCTCAACCTGATGACTGTGGCTCGACCCCTGACCTTGAACGAATTTCGGCAGTGCGAGGTAAGCTTTCTTGTTTGGCGAGGGTTTTGGTCGCGTCTTTGATGGAGCACATTCGCATTCACGTTTTACCTATACAAATCTTCTTGTCACCTTTTCTACATCAATTAGGGTGTCACGCAAGCCAAAGTCAAGACCTTTGGCACGCGTTTCATTCACCTCATTCGCAAACACACGCCCAACGGCAAGCGCGAAATTTCGGTTTGTGCCATTGCCACGGCGTGTTGCCAGACCCCAGACTACACCTGAAATCCGTTGGCGGGCGTGCTCTCATTTTTATTTCCATGGCTGCCACATCTTGCCCTGTCATTGAAGATTCCCCTGGTTTCCCCGCATTTTGGCGCCTCGGATGAGCTGGATGACTTTGAGTTTGCATCTCGCCGCACATCTTCGTCGACGGCAACAAAGCCCCGCTCTGGAGGCGGCAAAGCCAGCAAGTCGAGCAAAGCCTCCGAAAGGGCCAGCAAGACGACAAGCGGGAAGAGCACCAAGACTGGCTCGACCAAGCGATCCTCTAGTGGCGGCCGCCCAGCTTTGCCAGCAGGGCTTAGCCGGTCTGGCTCAAACTCCCACACAACGGGCTCGACTGCCAGCACGGCAAGTCGTGGAACCGTCGGTCTGGCACGGCAACCCTCTTCTTCTTCTGGCGTACGGCCTTTGGGCATTGCCGGTCGGCCCCGTAAGCAGCAGAAAGGTCATTGCGCCTTTTGAATTGCTGCCAGACCATCACTGTCTGTGCACGTAGTAGGAACCATACGCTTTGTTTCATTCTTATGTTTTGTTTTGTTTTTTGTTTTTTTTAACCGACCTCCATCACGTTGGCCACGCCAAACACGTGATTGCAGTACCAAAATCCCAAACATAATCAATCCCCGAAGCTCCCAAATCAATAGCGTGTTTATCCTCCCAGCCTGTCGCAAGCAAACCCTTCTCTTCCCTTGCCACAGACCCCTTCATAATTGCTTCCCGTGTCTTCAATCTCAATGTATCCGTCCACCCTCTTGACCTGAAACCGCGGCCCAAAGAAGAAGCACCAGAGATGTCGCAGCATCTGCACAAGAAGAAAGATGCGCACGTCTCTCTTGACCTTCTTTGTATAGTATCCATGTACATTTTCATAGACTTGTGCGATTCCTTTGCTGTTTTTGCTGCTTTTCTCTCCTCTCTCTGTGCTTTTCCTTTGTGTCTTTGCTCTTTACTTCTCTCTTTCTCAAACCGACCAAACCAATTCACTCTCCTCTCTCTCTCTCTCTCTCTCTCTCTCTCTCTCTCTCTCTCTCTCTCTCTCTCTCTCTCTCTCTCTCTCTCTCTCCTCTCGCTCTTTATCTCTCTCTCTCTCTCTCTCTCTCTC